TGTATTAGTTTGTGCCTTCACTAAAGTCTTTTGGACTTATTTTCTGCGTCCTGCGCCTGATTCCAACACCACACCCACCTACAGCAAACACTGACAGTGGCACAAATTGGGATATGCAAATGAAATACTGTAGTATTTACTTTAGTTAAAAAAGTGTAGTGTTTTCGCTGACATTACTGTAGTATTTACTATAGTATTCTACAGTATACTACAACATTCTATATTAAGTAATACACATGATTGAGGGTTACTACAGTATGTAGTATAGTATTCTACAGTATACTACAGTTTACTACAGAGTTATATGGTAAGTACTGTAGGATTCTATAGTAAACTGTAGTATTTTTTCATGTGGCGGTCTATAAACAAAAGCTTCTCGCTAAGTGCACACGCACACACACACGCACACCCACGCACATGCGTCTCACTCTCATAGTGACTATGATTTATGATAAGAGAGCCATATCAGTGGCATCATCAGTACGGTGAACATTACTGCTACAAGCGCAAAACAGCAATACAAGGAGTCCCTGATCAATGAGTGTGTATGTGCACTTGTGGTGTGTGTGTGTGTGTTTGTGCGCGTGTGTGTAAATTATCTTTGTAAGTGACCAGATCGCTGTGTGAGAGGCAGAGCAGAAGCCATTCTTGTAGGTTTCCCATCCCCTAATAAGATGTAGTACTTTCCTTTCAATCACCTGGGGCCTCATATTTTCTCTCCATTTTATTGCCTTTTGTTAGCATTTTCCACACAGACACATTCCACCTACACATCATCCAAGAGAGAGAGAGAGAGAGAGAGAGAGAGAGGGATGGTTGGTTTGAATACTGTGCCACAGAGCCAGGAATACTGATACTGCTATAGCTGGGGACAAAAGCTAAAGAGATGGAAAGGGAGAAAGAGAGCGAGCGAGAGAGAGAGCGAGAGAGAGAGATAGAGAGAGAGAGAGAGAGAGAGAGAGAGAAGAAACAGAGAATTTGAGAGTTGACAGAGTTGGTGTGTATACAGTGAGGGCTGTACAGGGGGGTGAGGGCTGCTATTGCCAAATCGTGGAACAGTAATTCCTCTCTTTGTTTTATGTCAGGGAGTCTTGCAAAATACCATTTCCTCACCCAGCAAAAATGCAGTCTCCCACATCCCTCAGTGTGCAGCAGCTATATATAATGCACACATCAAACGCTCCGAGTTGCTCTGACCTCTCTTTCTGGGAGCCCTGCGGCTTCCTCATACTACAGGAGTGTGTTCCACACAGGACCTATCACACACACACACACACTTCACGTCCACCGAACCTTCTGAATTCCACTATCTCTCTGAGGGGAAACTCATCACACGCTAACATTGACTTGGCTGTTGAAGAAGTCCAGAGAGAAGGGGAAGGGGTGGATAGGAGGGAGGGCCATTAGCCGTCACTGTATCTAGTTTCAGAGAGGAGGGGGGAGCAGAGGAGGAATTGCACACATATCAGCAGTGAGAAGAGAACCCCACTCCTTTGTCTGCACCACTGCTATCTGGACTCTGTCCACTGTGCTGTGTGTTGCTCTAACATAGTAACCTTATCACTGGCCCAGCATGGTCATTTCAAAACCATTTGAGTGCCTTTATGCATCACTATAGTGAATGTCTCTAAAGGGAAGACCATGGTTGTTGCAGGGCTGGAACCAGTTTTTGGCCACGTCCAGAATCGATAACCATTTACACACAGTCGCAGTGACTAATCAAGGCCAGTAATTGTTCCAATAAGTACAATCAGGGCAAGAATATAGCAGTGCCCAGAGGACATGGTTGCTTTTCTGCATTGGCTGTCCCTGACCTCTGACCCTAGCTCCTAATCATCAATCACCATGCAGCTTTCAGCCTGTAGTGACGGACCAAGAATACATACAGTGCCTTCAGAAAGTATTCACACCCTTTGTCTTTTTCCACATTTTGTTGAGTTACAAAGTGAGATTAAAATGGATTTCATTGTACTTTATTGTCAACGATCTACACAAAATACTCTATAATGTCAAAGCGGAAGAAAAATTAAACAGTAATATATTTTGATTAGATAAGTATTCAACCCCCTGTGTCAATACATGTTAGAATCACCTTTGGAAGCGATTACAGCTGTGAGTCTTTCTGGGTAAGTCTCTAAGAGCTTTGCACACCTGGATTGTACAATATTTTCCCATTAATCTTTTAAAAATTCTTCAGGTTCTGTCAAGTTGGTTGTTGATCATTGCTAGACAGCCATTTTCAAGTCTGCCATAGATTTTCAAGCCGATTTAAGTCAAAACTGTAACTACGCCACTAACGAACATTCAACGTCGTCTTGGTAAGCAACTCTAGTGTATATTTGACCTTGTGTTTTAGGTTATTGTCCTGCTGAACGAAAATATGAAGAGTGGTACTCACTGACGTGTTGTGTTGGATTTGCCTCAAGCATAACACTTTGTATTCAGGACAAAAAGTTAATTTCTTTGCCACATTTTTTGCAGTATTACTTTAGTGCCTTATCGCAAACAGGATGCATGTTGTGGAATATTTGTATTCTGTACAGGCTTCCTTCTTTTCACTCTGTCAGTTAGGTTGGTATTGTGGAGTAACTAGAATGTTGTTGATCCATCCTCAGTTTTCTCCTATCACAGCCATTAAACTCTGTAACTGTTTTAAAATCCCCATTGGCTGCTGCATTTATGGTTGAATCTGTGCTTGAAATTCACTGCTCGAATGAGGGACCTTACAGATAATTGTATGTGTGGGGTACAGAGATGGGGTAGACATTTAAAAATCATGTTAAACACTATTATTGCACACAGAGTGAGTCCATGCAACTTATTATGTGACTTGTTAAGCACATTTTTACTCCTGAACTTATTTAGGCTTGCCATAACAAAAGGGTTGAATACTTACTCAAGACATTTCAGCTTTTCATTTGTAATTAATTTGTAAACATTTCTAAAAACATAATTCCACTTTGACATTATGGGGTATTGTGTGTAGGCCAGATACATACAATTAAGGGCTGAATTTAAATTCAGCCTGTAACACAACAAAATGTGGGATAAGTCCAAACTGACAGTTGTTGGGAATATGTTTTATATCTCGTTGGTTGAGGGCAGAAGTAGTGTGCACTGCATCTCAGCATCTCCCTTATCACAACAGTGCTGGTGACATGATAAATAGATATAGTCTTGTTTCGCAGGTCAGATCAATTCTCCCCAGTCCAGTGATATGGGTCTCTGTGTTAGTGAGTATCCAAGGAGACATTTTACACTGCTGGGCTAGAAATAGGTCTTACACTAGCTAAATCAACCCTAGCCCTCTCCCCCGAGACAACTATAAAAAGAGTACACACACATCACTGCACACATACTCACTAACACACATACAGTATACACACATACACACTCATATGATCTCCCTCCCTCCCTCCCTCCCATTATACCTCCCTCCTCTGTCTCTCCCTCTCTCCCTTTCCCTGTCCCCTCCCCCTCCCCTACTCCTCTCTTCCCCTCTCTCCTTTCTCTCCTTCATTCAAATGGACTTCCTAAAGCCTCCATTCGTCTTGCTGACAGCTCCACTATCGATCGGCCTGGAGAGAGAGGATGCAGTTCCAGGGCTGGAAGAGGGCTGGACCTTGGCCGGAGGAAGGAAGGGGGGCGGTGGAGGGTGGATAGTGGAGGAGGGGGGGGGGGGCGAGCTGGAGAAACCAACCATGTTCCCACATCAGCTATACCTTAGGGTGGGAGGTCTCCCATCACCCTGTACTCTACTGTAGATACCTGACTCACTTTGACACAGCCCTGAAATCTTGTTGTACTGTAGCTGACCACTCAAAATGAACCTGTTTAATCAGCAGAAGGTATAACACTTATTTTTCTTAAAACTGCATTGTTGTTTAAGGGCTTGTAAGTAAGCATTTCACTGTAAGGTCTACACCTGTTGTATTCAGCGCATGTGACAAATACAATTTGATTTGATTTGATTTGATATAATCACCACCCTATACACTTTAGATATTGCTGAAGAGGCGAAGAGACCGAGGGGTGATCACACAGTTAACAAGTATGACTCAGAATCCAGTATGAATCACTTATAATCATTGCAGAGGATCAGTTAGGCACTGAGTAATAGGGCCAGGAGATTAGGAAACAATTTAGGACTTGTTCCATTGGGTCACAGTGAAGTGGCACCCCTACAAGCCCCTGGCATACATGCTATAATACGGTCCAAAGAATGTGGGCCCAGAAAGTCTGCCAGATTGTAGAAACCATGCTGAGAACATAAGCAGCACATGGGAGAGCAGGTTACAATTGGCCACGCTGACACACAATTCATTTCAATCAAACCCATCTGAAGTAACTTTCCACTGGCTGGCGTCTTTAATGGGCCTCCATCCCTTATCGTCAGCTGTTATCAAGGAAAGATGAGTTGGCACTTTCCTTCTTCATCCCTCCCTCCACCAAATGCCAAGATTGATGATTGGAAGTTTGATTTTCCTAATGATTAAAATATCTGCGGAGCAGTCGCTGCCCTGTCGTGGAAGCCCCATAGAGTGAGTTTCATCCCCCTGCCTACAACCCCCCCACCCTGATGAGCACCATGTGTGTGTCAGGGGTTGTCATCTATAATCATAGAGCACAGCACAACAGCGCCAGTCAGCAGGAGGGAGTCTCCCGTGACACTGTCTATTTGTTCTCTAATCTGTCCCTCTGAATTGCCATTGATTGCAGCAGCTAGGGAGAGAAAATAGACAAGGTGTAATATTCAAGACAAATTACTCAACTTCCCAGTTGCAAGGAGCAGTTCAATCTACATAAGGCCAGACAGTGGTTAGAGACAGGCACTGTTAGAGTGGGCATTAACCAACAGTGCTTTGACCCCCATGTATCGACGCTGTGATCAGTATATCTCTGCCTCTATGTGTCCTCAGCTGATATGTGCATCAGCCCATTCAAACAGCACGGCCATACACAGTATAGAATCGTTTAGTAGTGGAATGCACTGGTGCTTTCTAGGGGGCACCATAACGCAAAAAGAGGGTCTGAGGCTCTGTATCCTGGAGAGAGAAATGAAAGGGGGAGAGAGATGGGTGGATGGAGACAGGGAGAAAGGAGAGAAAAGGAAATAGAGGGAGAGGGGGGATAGACTGAAGGAAATGTGAGGTAGCATGAGGGAGGGAGTGTGGGAAAGACAAAGGGACGGTGAAATAGTGAAGAAAAAGAGGGAATGAGAGGGGATGTGGAAGGGGTATTGGAGGGGGAAGAGAGGACAGGGGCAGAGGAGAGGGAGGGATGGAGGGAGGAAGTAGGCTGCGACGAGGCAGAAAGCAGAGAGCAGTAGTCGATATAAAAGCACTCATTCATCTCTCTGACAGCACTCCAAGTGCTCCACTGGGGGAGACACACTGCTGCGTCACCTACAATGCAGCAAATACACATTTACAACTCTCCACTTTACAGCACACACACGCTCACACTCACACAGTACTTTCCAGGTAGCCTGCTCCAAGTCTACGTTCTGGGTCAATAGTATCTTGTGGGGTGGGGCAAAATCAGTAAATACACCATCACACTGTAACCTGCTCACTCACACACTCAACACAGCCACAGGCCATGACCACATACACACACACACACACACACACACACACACACACACACACACACACACACACACACACACACACACACTCACTTCTGATTAGATAAGGCTGTGTGCTGCAACAATAAACTGAAGAGCAATAAATCCCCCAGTAGCAGCCTGAAGCTAGATGGTTCATACCAACCTGCCTGCACTGAGGACAATAGGAGAAATCACATGACAATCTAACATACATTCACCTCCACAATCCATACAAACCACCTTCCTATACTCCATTTAGTGATTGCTATTGTGAGATACTCTACTGTCTGATGCTGAGGCTTATAGCCTTTCTTTATGCTCTTCCTTTTGTTTAGCTAATGATCACACACACACACACACACACACACACACACACACACACACACACACACACACACACACACACACACACACACACACACACACACACACACATCCCTGTTTCCTTCTCCTTACTGGTCAAGGCCCATTGGCTGTTCTCAGCCATACATCTCCCATGATTCACGGCTAAGTGCGCCGGTGTAGAGCAGATCTGACTCACTGGGCCGAGGAGAGGAGAGACAGGCTGGCTGTGTGTCATTACAGCACACCAGGATAGATGGACCACATGCAGGCTAGAGTGGCTTCAACTACAGTACAATCACCAGCCCTAGCACAATGAGACTGGAGGAAACAGACACTTATTTATGTGGAGCTAGGCTAATGTCTGTGGTGGTGTAGTCTTGCTAGACCCATACATAGGGACAGTGGGTCTGAGCTGCTCTATGTCGTCTGTGGATACAGGGGGAAAGACGGGTACTTGCACTAACTTGATTTGTCACCCTTTTGCCCAATCCCCTCCCCCTTCTCCCCAAGCTGGGCCAACTCTATAAATGAACCCCCTAATCATCCCCAAATCCTCCTTTTCAATCAGCAGAGAAGGGAAGGGGGAGCGAGGCAAGACGGGGAGAAGTAAGGGACATGGTGCCAGGCCCTCTCCCTTGCCTCCCCCTATTAGAGCAGGCCCCATAAAGGCAGCTGAGGCACCAGGCCCCTAATGATTCCTTAATTGTCCCCCTCCTCAGCTGTAGCGCTGACAAACACTGACTAACCCTGACACCAAGAACACCCACCAGGCCCCCCGCGCCACGGCACGGCACCCCTCCACACACACCTCCCATTTACAGACCCATCTCTCAGCTCCTCTCCCCTTTCCCCTCCCATAACCCTATCCTAACTTCCCCATTAAGCCAGCTGGACAGGGGGAGGGCCTGGAGGATCCCTGTCACCTTGAGAGTAATGGGTTAAGTTAGTTTGTAGGAATTCCTTTTAGCAGTTGAAGAAAAGGAAAGGGCAGAGAGTAGCCAAACAAAGACAGAGAGAGGAGGAGAGTTGTTCTATAGGGGGCAATTAGAACTCCAGACCCCAATGGAAAAAATACATTGCTCTCCCCTACTTAACCTCTTTAGCTGTGTTTCTGATTTCCATTGCAAGCTGGCGTTGGGTTGGGGGAGCCAGCAGCAGAGCTGCAGCATAATATATTTTAACCATCACAGGGTAATGTAATTACAGAGTGTACCATCGTCAACCCGCCTCAGTTTCTCCTAAATACTCACACCCCAAATTACGGGTTACCTCGCTCAAGCCAACCTTACTATTTAAGCCTAGGATGTCACATGAGAGGAGAGGAGAGGAGAGGAGAGGAGAGGAGAGGAGAGGAGAGGAGAGGAGAGGAGAGGAGAGGAGAGGAGAGGAGAGGAGAGGAGAGGAGAGGAGAGGAGAGGAGAGGAGAGGAGAGGAGAGGAGAGGAGAGGAGAGGAGTTTTACCATCAGAGTGTGTCAGGAGAATAACATGAAGCTGTTCAGTTAGACAGTTGCTATGAAGAGACAGAGTAGACCAGGTGGGGCCACATTAACCTACTGTATGGAAGGACTTGGCAGGGACACATACAGTGGGGAAAAAAAGTATTTAGTCAGCCAGCAATTGTGCAAGTTCTCCCACTTAAAAAGATGAGAGAGGCCTGTAATTTTCATCATAGGTACACGTCAACTATGACAGACAAATTGAGAAAAAAAATTCCAGAAAATCACATTGTAGGATTTTTTATGAATTTATTTGCAAATTATGGTGGAAAATAAGTATTTGGTCACCTACAAACAAGCAAGATTTCTCGCTCTCACAGACCTGTAACTTCTTCTTTAAGAGGCTCCTCTGTCCTCCACTCGTTACCTGTATTAATGGCACCTGTTTGAACTTGTTATCAGTATAAAAGACACCTGTCCACAACCTCAAACAGTCAGACTCCAAACTCCACTATGGTCAAGACCAAAGAGCTGTCAACGGACACCAGAAACAAAATTGTAGACCTGCACCAGGCTGGGAAGACTGAATCTGCAATAGGTAAGCAGCTTGGTTTGAAGAAATCAACTGTGGGAGCAATTATTAGGAAATGGAAGACATACAAGACCACTGATAATCTCCCTCGATCTGGGGCTCCACGCAAGATCTCACCCCGTGGGGTCAAAATGATCACAAGAACGGTGAGCAAAAATCCCAGAACCACACAGGGGGACCTAGTGAATGACCTGCAGAGAGCTGGGACCAAAGTAACAAAGCCTACCATCAGTAACACACTACGCCGTCAGGGACTCAAATCCTGCAGTGTCAGACGTGTCCCCCTGCTTAAGTCAGTACATGTCCAGGCCCGTCTGAAGTTTGCTAGAGTGCATTTGGATGATCCAGAAGAGGATTGGGAGAATGTCATATGGTCAGATGAAACCAAAATATAACTTTTTGGTAAAAACTCAACTCGTCGTGTTTGGAGGACAAAGAATGCTGAGTTGCATCCAAAGAACACCATGCCTACTGTGAAGCATGGGGGTGGAAACATCATGCTTTGGGGCTGTTTTTCTGCAAAGGGACCAGGACGACTGATCCGTGTAAAGGAAAGAATGAATGGGGCCATGTATCGTGAGATTTTGAGTGAAAACCTCCTTCCATCAGCAAGGGCATTGAAGATTAAACGTGGCTGGGTCTTTCAGCATGACAATGATCCCAAACACACCGCCCGGGCAACGAAGGAGTGGCTTCGTAAGAAGTATTTCAAGGTCCTGGAGTGGCCTAGCCAGTCTCCAGATCTCAACCCCATAGAAAATCTTTGGAGGGAGTTAAAAGTCTGTGTTGCCCAGCGACAGCCTCAAAACATCACTGCTCTAGAGGAGATCTGCATGGAGGAATGGGCCAAAATACCAGCAACAGTGCGTGAAAACCTTGTGAAGACTTACAGAAAACATTTGACCTGTGTCATTGCCAACAAAGGGTATATAACAAAGTATTGAGAAACTTTTGTTATTGACCAAATACTTATTTTCCACCATAATTTGCAAATAAATTCATTAAAAATCCTACAATGTGATTTTCTGGAATTTTTTTTCTCATCTTGTCTGTCATAGTTGACGTGTACCTATGGTGAAAATTACAGGCCTCTGTCATCTTTTTAAGTGGGAGAACTTGCACAATTGGTGGCTGACTAAATACTTTTTTTCCCCACTGTATGTCTGGATAAAGGAGAGAGTGTTATATCTCCAGAATACCTGACAGATGAAAATCTGCTAAATATATTTCCAAAGGCTGCGAGTTAAGAAAAACACAAACTCTGTGGTACAGTATGACCTCACTGGCTTGCACTGCAGCTCAAAGCGATGACAAAACGCTGCACTACAGGAGCCATTTCCAGGTTCCCCCTCTCCTCTCACAGATAACACTAGCAGCTTTCCCCCTCGCCTTTTAAACCGCCCATCCCACTCTCTCTTTCCTTCCATTTCTCTCCCCCTCTCTAACACAACCCCACAGTACATCCACAAAGCCAATTTACCATCATTCCCTTCAATACTTTCCATCTTTAAGAGCAGTAATCATTTGAAAATATAGGAAAGCTGTAAGGCTTGCAGAAAACAGGGACTTTGGTCACAATCATACAGTAGTGTAAGTGGAAAGTGAATAACTCATAATGGCCGCATAGTGGTCAAAAGCATTAAGTATGATTAAGGCCAGTGTCTAGGTTAGCTGTAGACATGAGGGGTGGTCGGTGGACCATCACTCTGGCAGGCAGCAGCAGAGTCCGGGCTGGGCAGAGCATTAGGAGATGAAAGAGAGGTCATGCACTGCTCCTCTACTGATAAAAACAGGATCCAATTTCTGCTAGTGATTTATGGAGAACGCTCTCAGGAAGATCTCTGTCTTCTGTCTCTCTCTGCTGCTCTATTACAGGACACAGTCAGGCCACACTGCACTGGGGGAAAGGTTAGTAGTAGTAGTACTATAGTAATACTGTAGTAAGATCTCTGTTTTCTGTCTCTCTCTGCCTCTCCATCACAGCCACAGCCAGGCCAGGCTGCATGACACTGCATTGTACTGCACTGGGTAACGGCTAGTAGTAATACTGGAGTAATAAAGGGGTAGACTAGCAGTATAATGTGTATGTGAGAACACCACCTACTCTGGGGAACACTACCTGCACTGGGGTAAAGTAAAGAGTATAATTACTAATACAATACTTACACAGAGGGGTATGTGTTTCAAAATACAGAGATCTTCCACGTATGAATCATTTTCCATGATGCAAAATGCATCATTTGTGGATGATTTCTGTATTTTGAAAGTTACATATCTTGAAAACTTGATTGCTGACATGCAAAACATTTTGAGACTATATAAAAAATTGACTAATGAAACAAATACCAAAAGATAGTTTTGGGGTGGATTTTTCCTTTAAAGCTGAGATCCGTGATAGGCGAAACAGCATCACTGGCCGCCACAGGCGCATTTGTTATAGTTTTTGTTTTAAGGAAATCAGCATCCAGCATCGTGGTCAAAAATGTGTTTGGGTACATACTCTTCTGTTCTATAACATGTGCAATGATGTCTGAGGGAAAGAAAATGTGTTCGTTGTTTGTAGTAACTTATTTTTTATTGTAATATGGACGTAACAGTTTCACCGCTGAGGATTGCAGCTTTAAATACACCTCACCCTAACACTACTGTAACTTAACCTGTGTGCATGACATGCATAGGTATAGGCCTACTGATGGCTGTGGTCTCATACCGACACCTCTGTGCCTATTTATGTGGAGGTATTTGTGTGAGAGATGTGAGGGGGCCTCTGGCCGTTAGCTGTAGCTTTGCTCTTCGCCTTTTCAACCACCCAACCCAATCTCTTTTTCCTTCCATTTCTCTCCCCTTCTCTAACACAACACCACAATACATCCACATACTATAATTCCCTTCAAGACTTTCCATCTTTTCCATCTTTAAGAGCAGTAAACTGGAGTGTTTAAACATCTCCTGATATCTGGGAGCTTGCGGGGAGGATAAGAGACTGGGGAAGCAGGGAGGGACAGGGGGAAGCAGGGAGGGACAAGGGGAAGCAGGGAGGGATGAGGGGAAGCAGGGAGGGGTGGGGGGGAAGCAGGGAGGGACAAGGGGAAGCAGGGAGGGATGAGGGGAAGCAGGGAGGGATGAGGGGAAGCAGGGAGGGATGGGGGGAAGCAAGGAGGGACAAGGGGAAGCAGGGAGGGATGGGGGGAAGCAGGGAGGGATGGGGGGAAGCAGGGAGGGACAGGGGGAAGCAGGGAGGGACAAGGGGAAGCAGGGAGGGATGGGGTGAAGCAGGGAGGGATGGGGGGAAGCAGGGAGGGACAGGGGGAAGCAGGGAGGGACAGGGGGAAGCAGGGAGGGACGAGGGGAAGCAGGAAGGGATGGGGGGAAGCAGGGAGGGACGGGGGAAGCAGTAAGGGATGGGGGAAGCAGAGAGTGACGGGAGAAGCAGGGGCGTTCTTCCCCCACAAACACCACAGAGGTCAGGCAAGGTCAGAGGTCAGAAGGAGAGAGAGAGAGCGAGTGAGAGAGAGAGACAGAGACAGAGACAGAGAGAAATAAACTAGCCCATTTTCTCACTGTCTGGCCCTCCCTCTTCCTCTGTCTACCTTCCCTCATGCTTTACCTCTATTCTTCGCTCTCCCTCTCTCCCTCTCTCCCTCTCTCCCTCTCTCCCTCTCTCCCGCTCTTCCTCTCTCCCTCTCTCCCTCTCTCCCTCTCTCCCGCTCTTCCTCTCTCCCTCTCTCCCTCTCTCCCTCGTCTGTCGTTTTTTTCTCTCTCGTCCTTCAGTTTTTGTCTCTCCCTCTACTTCATATCCAAACAGCTTAATCTGTGTAAATTATATTCCTTAAGCAGCATATGTTGCCAAAACCCCAGTGTTACTGAAACATGAACAGGATAAATATTTGCATAATATCTGCATAAATGTTTTGCATTGATAACGAGGAGCACCAGCTGTTTCTTAAGGCCCTCCCATTGGTCTCTCCACCTCTCTCTCCCTCGCCTTGTCACCTTAATTTGTTCTCCTAACCCACTTCCCATCCCTCTCTCTCTCTGACGGGAGAACCAGCAGCAGAGCATTCCTGCCTTTCAGCCTTACCCTTGATTCACCCTCTGAACAACCAAGACAGAGGAGAGGAAAGCTGCAGGACACACCACTATTACAACCACTAACGGAAGCAGAGAAAAGACACCAGCCATCCATCCCCCACATGCCCTCACCCCTCCTTCTACAGCAGAAGATAACTTAAAACGACATGATAGATGTATCTTGCATACTACCACCGGGAAAAGATCACCAAAAACACCCAGGAGTATTAGGTAGAGGAAACAGTGGGCTGTGGGCCCTGTGTGTCTCAGTCTCTTACCTCCCTGTCCTTGAGCTTCATGGCCAGGACCAGCTGGTGACGATGGTTGGTCAGGGCCTCGCGGTAGTTCCCCTTGGAAAAGAATGCTGAGCCCAGGTTACCATGGGCACGGCATTCACCTGTTTGGTCACCTGGAGATGAGGAGAGCGGAGAGAAGAGAGGACAAGTAAGGGAAGGTCAGTCCAGGACAGACAACAATGTACTCTATACAATTCATCTGAGATCATAATCAATACATTTTACCTTTCAATACAAGCATCTGTATCCTTGTTTGTTTACCACTCAGGTTATATACAGTACAACAGGAAAGTCACAACTAAATGTGCTGTCATTCAGTGTAGGGTGGGTCTACACAGGGCAGTCACGGTCCTCTACCATCTTAGAGCAGTGATGCAGTGATGCGATGGAGCTCCTTGACACTGACATCCCATTATGTCCTTAAATGGAGCGCTAGGCATTCTAAGCTGCTGTACAGACAAAGTTCCACAGTAGAGAGAGCAGCTAACTGACTGACAGACAGACAGACTGCAGGTAGACCTGCTAGACCTGATCTCCAGGCCTCAGTGGGGTGAGAGGACAGGGGGCCTTATTATATCTGTCTGACAGACAGGCCCCCCAGACAGGGCCAGAGCCAGGCTCTCTACCTGATAACCACAGCGCTCTTCTCCACTCCAGACCATTTCTCATGCTGCTCTGCTCTGCCCACTCATGTGTCAAACTGTGTAGGGCCAGGAGAGTCCAGCCAATCTGGGCTGCATCACACACACACAGTAACTCAGGGACAGATATACGGTAGTTAGAGACACACACATACACACAGATAAGAACAGACATACACACACATATAAACATACACACACTCTTGTCTCTTACCTAGTGTTTTGGAGACCTCCAGGTCTTGCTGCATGTATCCGGTGCTCTTCTCGGTATTGCCCAGGGACCAGTGGGCGCTGCTGAGTGCTGAGAAGACGGAACCACGCAGCTTGAGGCTGCAGGTGCCGATCTTTAATGCGGACTCCAGTACCACCACGGAGGCAGTATGGTGGGCCGCTGTCAGCAGCTCTTGACCAATCACTGACACCACCACGAACGGACTCTTGTCCAGTTTCATCTTCTGCAGTTGCTGGTAGGTGGGTTCCAGTGACTCTGTGTGGAGGGAGGTAAGGGAGAGTAGGGTGTTAGGGATGGTCATGATGAGGAGTACTGGACTCTTTCAGATAGCTTTTTTGCATTCCTTTCAGTTTCATGGAATACACAAGGTGCTCCATAGCTCACCAACAATGACTGTATGCAGCTTCGGTAAATTGTCTTTTGTCGAACTTGTCTGACTGATGGCTTTAAAACATGGATTTTACTGACAACATCACAACAAGACAAGCAAATGAATACACCATTCACAGGTTCAACTATTATAGACAATTTAAACTAGGGACATTTCAAACACCACTACATAAAAACGTTGAGTGTTTACACATCCTCTGACAGCTCTGCTGCAAAGTAGCAGAGTGAAATTATACTGCTTTGAAATTATATTGCAGTTTGAGAGAGAAGAGAAGCATGAGTGGGTTTTGAGGGCCGGTGAGTGTTAAAAGTGATGGTGAACATGCTGCTGCTAACACAGGGGAGAGAGGCAGAGGAATGCAGAGCGGAGAGGAGACACACGAGGTGACCTCTGGGAAGGCTGAAAATGCACACAGTGACATAAATCAATGGTGGGCCACGCAGGTTTTGGGATCCACAGCCCCTCCAGATTACTGAGCCAGCCAGACAGACAGCCAGCCAGACAGACAGCCTTGGCAGCAGACTGGGGAAGACAAGGAGGGGGATTGGAACAGGGGTGACATCTTGTGTGTGTGTGTGTGTGTGTGTGCATGTGTGTGTGTGTGTGTGTGTGTGTGTACTGTATGTGTGAGTGTGTGTACTGTATGTAAGTGCAAGTGTGTGTACACGAAGGGGGGTGGGGTGTATGAAATATACTCATGCCCCTTATGCTAATATTTTGAGCAGAGTTGCAGTTAATTAGGTCAACTCCTCCCACACAGAGGTTTTTCTATAGTACTGTACCTGCACAAGGCAGATCATGCCTGCAGTCAGATGTACTAAACACCTGTTACTGTATCAGTAATGCCCATGCACTTAAAGACCAAGACACTCAACGGACAAATAACAAAATACACATGAACACTATCTGAATAGCCTGGTACCAAGCCACCCACATGGAAACAAATATTCACCACACACACAATATGAAACACATCTCCAGTCTCCACACAAGCACTCAAAAATATAATTGATGATGCTCTTTCAAGAGCATCACTTGTTTTCCAGCGGTTGGCAGAATGTAGCACTAGCAGAGACGGTGTGTGGATATCATATCCATTCATAGCAGGTAATTGCATTCAAAGTGACACACAGAGCGGTGTCGTAAATCAAACATTGAGATACCAGTAAAAAGTGTCATGGCTGCTGGATTCATAAACAGGTAGTTAGGGCAACGTCAGTGACAGCACTGCACTGCAGTGTCTCACACACGTCAGGAGGATGAGCAGGAACACACACATATACTCAGTTTATTAAGTACACCCATCTAGTACCGTTGACACCAGGCAGGATGGGGCCAGGGACTCATGCTGCTTACGCCAAATCCTGACTCTGCCATCAGCATGACGAAACAGGTACCGTGATTCGTCGGACCAGGCAATGTTTTTCCACTACTCAATTGTCCAGTGTTGGTAATCGCATGCCCACTGGAGCAGCTTCTTCTTGTTTTTAGATGATAGGAGTGGAACCGGGTCTGGTTGTCTGCTGCAATAGCCCCTCCGTGACAAGGACCGACGAGTTGTGCGTTCCGAGATGCCGTTCTGCACACCACTGTTGTACTGCACCATTATTTGCCTGTTTGTGGCCCGCCTGTCAGCTAGCACGATTCTTTCCATTCTCCTTCGACCTCTCATCAATGGACTGCCGCTGATTGGATGTTTTTGCTTTGTCGCACCATTCAATCAAACAGTAACTGAATGCCTCAATGCCTGTTTGCCTGCTTTATATAGCAAGCCACAGCCACGTGTCTCACTGTTTGTAGGAGCGAACCATTTTCGTGAACGGGGTAGCGTACCTAATTAACTGGCCACTGAGTGTATATAAAACACACACACATACAGTTGTGGAAAAAGTACCCAATTGTCATACTTGAGTAAAAGTAAAGATACAGTACTTTAATAGAAAATGACTCAAGTAAAAGTCACCCAGTAAAATACTACTTGAGTAAAAAGTACATGTAATTGCTCAAATATACTAAAGTATCAAAAGTAAAAGTATAAATCATTTCAAATTCCTTATATTAAGCAAACCAGACGGAACCATTTTCTGTAGTTGTTTAAAAAAAAAGTTTTTTCTTTGTATTTTACCCCCTTTTTTTTCTCCCAATTTCAATTATGATCACATCTCATCGCTGCAACTCCCCAACGGGCTCGGGAGAGTCATGCGTCCCCCGAAACATGACCCGCCTAACCTTGCTCCTTAACACCTGCCAGCTTAACCCGGAAGCCAGCCGCACCAATGTGTCAGAGGAAACACCGTTCAACTGGCGACCAGGGTCAACCAGCAGGCACCTGGCCCGCCACAAGGAGTCACTAGGGCGTGATGAGCCAAGTAAAGCCCCCCTAGCCAAACCCTCCCTTAACCCGACGACACTGGGCCAATTGTGCGCCGTCCTATGGGACTCCCGGCCACAGCCGGTTGTGGCATAGCCCGGGAATGAACCCGGGTCTGTAGTAACGCCACTATCACTGCGATGCAGTGCCTTAGACCGCTGCGCCACTCTGGAGGCCTATTGTTGTTGTTTTTTACAGATAGCCAGGCGCACACTCCAACACTCAGACATCATTTACAAACGAAGCATGTGTGTTAAGTGAGTCTGCCAGATCACAGGCAGTGGGGATGACCAGGGATGTTCTCTTGATAAGTCTGTGAATGGACCATTTTCCTGTCCTGCTAAGCATTCAAAATGTAATGAGTACTAGCTGTATGCACATCTACACAAACAGATACAGTACATTCATATATAGTTCCTTCTCCTGCTCTAAGGCTTGGCCTCATATAGAGGAGGCTTGGTCTCAGGCTGGGTCTGTTATAGGGTAGGCTTTGACAGCCTTTACCATTTCCCCTGGGCGACTGGTGACAATAACAAACCCATGTAGCGTACATTCATTCTGTTTTTTTGAATACAACTATGACTCAGTTCACCTTCCCATTTCACGAGCCATTGCCACCTATTCTGTTCTATGGGTCTGTGACTGTGAGGAGGCAGAGAGCTGACTGCTGAGGGAGGCTGACACCCTCCTGTACTTCTGTTTGTGTCTGCATCTCCATAATCTATACTAAACAGTTTATATACTATATACTACTTCTATACTACTTTTCTACTACAATATTCTACTTCTGTAGTATATTTCTGTATCTGCATCACTCCTTCCAAGATTACATAATATGAATAGTCTGATCTATTGGTAACAATGAATTGGAAAAATGTATCAATATTATAGTGACATTGTTTCCCCTCCAACGCTCAGAGAACTTCAGAGCTGGTCCAAGATCATGGGAGAAAGAAACAGAACAGAACCAAGCCCATCTGCCCTCAACACTGGCTACTGCCTGGGCCTGATTTCCCTCCTTTAATTTCACTCAATGATATTCACTGTAGAAAAAAACATGCATCAAAACCTTGACATCTGAGGAGTTAGAATCTGACATAATGATAATAGGCAGCAGAGAAGAGAGCCAGAGATGGAGAGGGTTCTGAGAGCACTTTTCCCTCCTTTGAGAGCTTTGTTGTGAGAAAAACAAAGGAGGACAGTACAGTAGGAGTCACATGAGAGCACTATCTGCTGCTCAGCTCCGGACTCATGGAAAATCTCTCTGATGCGTTGTGTGGGGGGGGAATATAATACTGTAATGCTAAAGTAAAGTACACACAAATAGTGGTGATAAAGTGCGCTTCAGGGGAATTATTGCCACGCCCTGGCTCTGGGACTCTTATATGTTGAGCCAGGGTGTGTAGTTTCTATGTGTTTGTGTTCTGTGGTTAAGTTCTAGTGCTTGTGTTTCTATGTTGGCCGGGGTGGTTCTCAATCAGAGGCAACGTGAATCAGCTGTTGCTTGTTGTCTCTGATTGGGAACCATACTTAGGCAGCCGTTTGGGCATTGTCATTTGTGGGATCTTGTTCCGTATGGTGTGTATTGTAACCAAGGACTTCACGTTTTGTATCGTTTGTTGTTTTGTTCGTTCAATAAATAAGTATGTTCACTTATCACGCTGCGCATTGGTCCACTTCCTCCGACGATCGTGACAATTATACACACTGTTTGTCTCCTTGAAGACAAGGGCCTTGAATGTTTTCTTACTTTAATTATTTGTGTTCTTTGTTCACTGTTTGCATGAGCACACCTTTATCTATGTTGCTATGCCCAATGACAGAATAAAAACCGAACATGTAGGGAAAAACATTAAAGTGAATTTGGAGACTAAACAGATGTCTGTGTGGATGTCCTTAAGGCAGGTTAAGTGAGGAGATGCATAAAACAACTAGTAGCTACTTGACTCCTACTAGATGATGTCTATCATCAGTATGGAGAAACATCTTCCTTATTATACCTTATTACACTCTGAATTCAACAGGGAAAGAGTTTAGTTAGTTTAGTAAGACCCTGGCGACACCAAACTCCAAGCGAGGGGAAAATTAAATGGGTGGGTTTGGTAATCCCCAGGTAATCCTGGAAGGGGTGTGTTACACAGCCGATAAGAGAGGCTGGCAGGAATACAGCCATCTTTGACTTCAGCGAGAGAAAGCAACGCTCTCATACCTTTCCCTTATCACAGGGCTTTGGCTGCGTAACACTGATTATCCTCCCTGTTTGCTGGCGTAACTCTGATTATCTTCCCCCTGTGCCAGGAGCCCATCTGAGAGGATCATTGCTCTTAATCCCCCGACCTAGCCCCCCCTCCAACACACCTTGGACTGGCTCCCTCCCTCCGTCGCTAGCTGCTTCACTCCCTGGCACCATGGGAAACGTGGTAAACAATTAAGAGATTAAAAAACCTGGGCCAAGAGTTTCTCCTCTCCTACTGAGAGAGAGGCCCAGCCAGGTCGACAGTGTTTGGTGTTTGATGCTGGGCCCACTCCCAAGCCCTTTTACTGTTACGCTTCCAGTGACAAGGCTAATGTAATCAATGTACCTCAGATGGGCTCTTTGCTTGTGTTTTTTCCATGAATTCAGATACAGCCTTTTGCTAACAGGGATTGAGAGAGGCGCTCCAAGCAGCCTAAATCACAATGACTCCTCTCTGAACAGAACATTACAGAACAAAGCCATGTGGATCCACTGATCTCCCTGTGCAGGCCAGTAAAACATTGAACTGTTACAACAGGCTTGTATTTATTCATGTGTATAGTATCTGAGGAGTTTGGTGGTTTTGGTGATGACAAAGAGAGAGCACATGATGACTCAGAGTCTCTGTTGGAGTTGGGATAGCAGCTTATTAAATCCTCTGCAGCGGTCAGTTGCACTAGTGAAATGGATTCCAGTTTTGTTTGGAGGGAGACCCCATGCATTTGGCCCCAACAGGGTGCCCCAAAGGGCCAGGCCTGATATATCACACACATCATGGAGCAGGGAGGTCACAATTTACTGAAAGCCCTGGCCTGGATACTAAGCTACTTATATGTCCACTTTGGCTTTGGAAAATAGGCATCAACAGGGGCAGCCACTGACAAGGGCTGTATTGTTGGAAGTTTAATATTATGATAAAGAAGTATCTTTCTGATCAGCTTGACTGGCAAGACATTTATCAGGTAGTTAAGAGTATGTGAAACAGTCCTGTCAGTCAGGGGGACTCCTTCACACATACACTGAGATGGACAGACAAGGAGACAGTCTGCCAAGCAAATACAGATGGATATAAAGATATGCAGTAGTCACTGACAGACTGCTAGAGTCACACTGACACATTTATCGACTGACAGAAGGATGAAGATTAGCGACAGTTAGAAAGGCAGAGAGGAGAACATAGAGATATAGTATGACAGACACGTTACCTCGTAGTGGGGACTTCATGGCAGCCTCCACCATGCCCACCAGTAGCTGCAGGCTCTTGGGGTCTTGGGCCAGCCCCGAGGCAAAGGCGGCCAGTGCGTCGGCATGGCGACCAAGGTACTGAAGGGCAACACCCTGTCGGAAGTATGCCTGTAGAGAGAGAGAGAGAGAGAGAGAGTGAGAGAGAGAGCGAGAGAGACGTCAGTACTGTAGTCTAGCCCTACAGCATGGGGTTGTACACAAAAACATTACCAGACACTAATTTCACGCCATTTGCATCTTTTCCACATAAGCTGTTTTCAGAGTACATGGCTTCACTCGCCTTTGTATTCCCATAATAGAGGGATCATTGTGTTTCCTGTTCTTGTTAATTGGTGAATACGTTTTACATAAATGCACATGATACACACTCATCGGATGCATTTCTCAAGAGCATGGCATTCTTTTCTAGTCACACAAATTGTGTATTCTTTGTTTGCAGTGGGAATCGTTAGCACACAAGTGTGGAGTATGGGGATTTCTCTTAGATTCTGTTGAAAGAGTTTAGAGCGGGAGAGAGAGCTAGCCTACATAATGGAGTTACTTTGTAGCATCGTAAAAGGATACATAAATACTCCAGACACTCCATGCTATTTTTCACAACATTGCTATAATGACACAAACTACCACCCTGAATCTGCCATGGCCTATTTCTCTACATCTGGGCCTTTCAATAGTGTGGACCCTGAAGTAGAAAAAACTGTTTGACTTCCTCCTCTTCCACCAGTCTGTTCCCACTGCTCACAGACAGCCAGTCACATGGTGGTTGAAGTGTGATTTACTTAACATCAGTGAGAGGCACAGACCATGTGACCAAAGCAGTCCACCCAAAACCCCACCATTCTGATGACAGCAGCATTTCCCCTGTCTATGTGTAGCCTGTAGAGACATAGCTGTTTCCTGGCCTGTCTGTCTCTCTGATCTGAGACAAATAGCAGTACAGAACAGAACCCAGCCCTTCTCAGCTCTAGCCCTGGATCAGCAGCTATGCAGCCTCAGGGAGATATGGAACCAGCCCAGTTTACAGCTTACTCCAGCCAAACCACTAAATCCAGCCAGATTTGGGATGATATAAACAATGCAAAAAGTTACACTACAGTGTTCCCCTCTAAACAGCCAAAACTAGGCCATAATACAGATCTCAGTAATACAACACTACACAATACAACCCAACCATCTTCCAACATAATCCACATCCAGGCATTTTGGATGGCCAATATACAGTGCAGTGCATTAAACCCAACATCCAGGATACCAGCTTCCTCTCCCTCCACTCTCTCTCCAGAGCCCCTCTGCTGGGACTGTCTAAGGGTCTGACTAGGACAGGGAGTCCAGGCTAACCTGCAGTCTGACAGGGAGTCCAGGCTAACCACAGAGATCCTATCATTCTATGTGGCTAGGTGTACTATATGTAATTCTACAAGGCTAACCTGCAGTCTGCAGTATGTCTGGGCTCCTCCCCACTGAGGAGACTCTGACTGCAGTAGCAGAAGCTTCCAAAAGTGACACGGAGGGTAATTTGTTATTAGCATCTAAGAGGCCTTTTCATTAGTGTGCCCTAGCCTCTCCCCTAGCACCAGTAGGGAGGGGCAAAAGGGGAGGGAATTAGGGAAAATGAGACATGACATTGCATTTCTGGAGAACAGTAATTAATTTATCTTCCTTCCAAGCCCCCCGTTGATTACCAATCTCTCTCTGCCCTCTTCCCCCCTCGCTGCATCACAACTCCATTGAAACGGATGAGGACAGAGATTTGATTCAAAGCATTAACCTTTGTTCTAACACTGATATTAAAGGAGAGGAGCAAGGGCCAGTGCGCCCGCTCGATATTAATTACGTCTGGTGGCGGCTGAGAGTGAGTTTGGGCTGCTTGCCATAGGAGCAGAGAGACAGGCTCAGAGACGTTCTGCCCCGGGGAACAACAGACATTTAAAAGCACTTCTCTCTTTGATTGGATTTACTATATGACTGCTCTACTACACGCTTCTTCCATTCCCCTCTGAGAGCTGTGACGGAGAGAGAGAACGAGGGAGAGGTGAGAAAAAATATGAAAAAAGCCCTTTGCTTCAAACTAAAATTGACATCTCCTTTATTTATCCTCCCTCCTGCCCTACATGCAAGCATTTAAAAGCCTATACCCTTTGGAGAGGGCATTAAAATATTGCAAACACAAGCACGCACATAAATGCATAAATCAAAGAGTGACGGTGGAAGATGACAGAATCGATGCACTGCGCAGTCTTAAAATAATTCTCTCTCTGCCATTAATCTCAGCAGTCAAAATGCACCATCTAGGCCACACACACACACACACACACACACACACACACACACACGCACACGCACACGCTCACACACTTCAACACACACACACACACTTGAGCACACACACAATGAAACACACTCACTTCAACACACAGGCACACACACAAGCAGGCACAACCACAAGCTGCACAACGGTGCTCAACAGGTCGGTTATGCCAGTGGAATAAGGAGCACAACTGGGCACAGACGTCAATTCAACATCTATTCCACGTTGGGAATGACGTGGGAACAACGTTCATTCAACCAGAGTGTGCCCAGTGGGGAGAGAGCAATTACCATTACTAGACGTTTCTATTCACACTTAACGGGATCTTTTCTGAAAACACATCAACAGCTACTTAGAGCTGCCGCTCAAGCGATTAGCACACCCTCCAGCTCTCAGAGAGGAGAGCATTGAAGAGAAAAGGAGAGGGGTGCATCAGAGAGGCTCCACAGATTAACTCTGCCTTTCAAACATATTACACAGTCACAAAGGAAAGGCAGAGCGGCATGTTTAATCACCTTACTGCCTAGCCTTGCTTTCTCCCCATAGAGAGAGGCCAAATGGAGGATAAACACCACTGTTACCAAAGACACTTTAACTACAATACAGCGTCTAACCTGACTAACGCTGGGCATCTTGTAAGACATGACAACCAACGTTTCTCAACCTCTGTTTAGTCTGAAAATAAAACCAGCTACATTATTGAACCTTACTTCCTGCCTCCTCTGTTTTCAGCTACAATGTGTGTATCGACTAGGAAGGTTTGTTGTTCTTACCCTAGGGTGGTTTCTGTGCGTGTGTCTGATGTGTGTGTGCGAGAGAGTGAGATTTAAAAATATTAATGAGAATGTGAGGCTAGAGAGACAGAATGAGAAGAGAGCGGAGCTGTGATAAAAGCTTTTCTTGAACATCTTAATATTTCATGACTGCTTGTTTGAAGAACTTTTAAATATTCATATTGTTATGCTTAAGAGGAAGAGAGGTGCAACGATGATGCAAAGAAAATATAAATACATACTGGTAGATCGTGTTCACAGTCACACACACACACACACACACACACACACACACACACACACACACACACACACACACACACACACACACACACACACACACACACTAGGGAACCTAGTTGGTGTGGTTTTACAGGACGTTTACAGGATAACAGGATGTGTGTGTTTGTGTGTGTGTGTGTGAGTGAGGGACCAACTGTTAAAGCCCTCTTTATTAGCAGATTTGTGTCCCTATACCCTGGGCATCTGTCCTGGCCCCCTCCCCAGTCAGTCTGGCCCTTTGACCAGCCCCCCAGGGGTTCACTGAGCCCCTATTCATTTACCAGTGTGTTTCTGCGCTAGCTAATCTTATTCAACATCTCACAGTAGTCTCTCTCAAAATGTAAGCTGTACTACCAGTACTACTTCAGTAGATAGATGCACACATTCATGTTGTGTCATCACTACATTCTTGACATACAGCCATTCACAAACACTCAACATCCTCTCTGGCCTCAACACATCTTTCCATCAACAGGCTTACTCATAGTAGCACACAGGTTGCTTATTTCATTTCACCTTCAAAAGTAGACAATGTTCAGCTTAATTCTTATCGGTTCAGCCCTATCTATACACACCAACATGCGTTCTCACAGACAAATGCACACCCAGACACACAGCACAGAAATACACCACACTCCATATTAAACTCATTCCTTATCTCAGTTCTCTCTCTCTCTCTCTCTCTCTCTCTCTCTCTCTCTCTCTCTCTCTCTCTCTCTCTCTCTCTCTCTCTCTCTCTCTCTGTCTCTCTCTCTCTCTCCCTCCCTCCCTCCCTCCCTCCCTCCCTCCCTCTCCCTCTCACACACACACAAAGGCAGGGCTTTTAGGAAGTAATAGTGTAGGGTTGTATTGCACTGCAGGGAGGTCAGTATGGGAGAAGCTAGTCAGATAATTACAAGTGTGGTATTGGAGGGCATCATGAGCCCAGCACTGTGTACAGACACATGGCATTATCAATAGTCCTTTTTATATCACACTCTCATTCTAATTCTGGAGCCTGATCTATGCTATCACTCCAAAAGAAAACAAATTCCCTTCAAAAGCTACCCAAAAATTACATTTTAGTCATTTAGCAGATGCGCTTATCCAGAGCAATTAGGGTGAAGTGCCTTGCTCAAGGGTACATCAACAGCTTTTTCAACTAGTTGGCTCAGGGATTTGAACCAGCAACCTTTCGGTTACTGACCCAACGCTGTTAATCGCTAGCCCAAATGTGTTTAAACAAGCAGTGAATGTGTCCAACAAAAGAGGAGTCAGTCTGTCTTTTAACTCTCAGCTCCAGCTGCGGTCCAATGAGTAGAAGTATTGTGAGGCTCACTGGGCAGAGATTGGAGATATCAGCCATAATAGAGATGCTTTCAAATGAGGAAATCAATAAAAGGGAAACATAAACTCAGTTTAAACAGACAGCGCCACACCCTCCACTATGTCGGTGCTGTGTTGTTGCTGTGTGTGTGTGGTTAGAGGGAGGCTGGTGAAGATGGTTTGTGATAGCCCACAGGGCAGTTGGTGTCAGTGTGGTGTCTCTGAACACAACCCCTGCCAGCACTATAATGGAACCCAAATCAGACCATCAAACAGTGACAGCAGGCTTCACTGCAAACACACACATGCACGCATGCACACACACACACACACACACGCACACACACACACACACACAAACATACACAAACAACTAACTCCCATGACAATGCTAGCAGCACACACATCCCACACACCCGTTCCCATCAAACATTAAATTGGTGCCCCTCCAGCTGAACAGCCCTGACACCAGCTGAGATGGTGCAACACAGATTAGCACTAACGGTTCAGGTCTGATCAAAGAGATTGCTGCCTTTCTTCCCCTGTATCTTGGCTCTTTACACTGATAGTTACCGTTGCCTGGTTTCCAATGTGACCCAGAAATGTCGACCAGGGCTTCAGACAGGGCCGCTGCCATCCCCTTCAGATCTCTGCCACAGCAGATCTCTGCCACAGGATACACAATATGTCAAATGCTTAATTAAATATCCAGGGATAACTGTCGCCCATGACAAATTAGCTGGGAGAACAGTGGAGAAGGCAAATGGAATGATTGCTGCTTTGGGCTCCCCCAGTCTGACAAGCTGACAGCCACAGGCACCACAGTACCTTCGCTTAATTCAAAATATTGCTAAAGCTCAGAGGGTGTGTATGCGTACACACATTTACACACGGTTTGAGAACACTCCGTCCTCCTCTCTCTCTGCCTCCCCTCCGGTTGAAGCCAGTCTTTCCCCCAGGACAAGGGAGGTCAGATGTGAGCCATCAGTTGTCTGAGTGGGGAGAGATTACACCTCTGGGCCTGGCCCGGGGCGGACAGGGACCACCAGCCCAGAGGGTCACAGGGCCACAGCCATGACACAGCTGCATGTCCATTACCAGCTCTCCAATCTAATAAGACACAACACAGGATCAGCACACACGCTGACCTTCATTGATCAAATGTGTGTTCACTCAGTAAAGCAACACAGTCAAGCAAATGCATTCACGCTCAAAGAGAGTGAGAGAGAGAAGACACAACCAAAGGAGTCAAGGCTAGGATGTACTACTAATGCTGTGTATGAGTTAATAATGCTTCTCTGTGGTCTTTGTTTCCAGTAATGAATAGAGAAAGGGAAGAGACCTTGAGGTGCGCTACGGTTCAAGGCTGCTGTGATTTCATGTTCTGTACTGGCTGACTGGCTCCGTGAGCAACATCAATGATGCATGTTAAACAGTAACGCAAGGCGCCATACAATCTGCACGTAGGTTGACACAATAAAATATGTATGTTGCATTGATGGATTCGTCCCTCAGGGAGCTGTAGACTCCTGTGATTGCTGTTTCATCCAAAGCCCTTAATTAGCCCATTAGATGAGATGGGTTTATTGAGAGCAAATTAAACTGATCAGTCTTTTCAGTAATGGCTATTAAAGGGTAAATGTTTTAATTATTCAGGCTCCTTCAGCAGTGTGTCTCATAGTGGAAACGCTGCAGTAGCTTCCAGGTAGAAGCCAGGGCAGACTAGACACTAGACACATCAGGAATAGAGAGAGCCATGGTAGTAGACTAGATACTCTCACATGGCAGTGGGCCATCGATTAGACTGAGGCTCCCATCAAACCGTTGCGAGGCGTAGGATCGTAAAAGGTCAGCGTCAGGTAGGTGGAGCACTCTGTATTCACCATGTCTCACATTATCTGACCGGCTTCAACACTTTCTAAAAACAATTATCAAAAGACACAGAGCTTTTTCAATAGAGAAGGTCAACCATTGTGATTGAGGAAGTGTCACAGTGTGTGCATTCAACATAACAGGGAAAGTGAAAAAGAAGGGAAAAACTGATATCGCTCGTTTATCACAAGCAGATGAGACAGCAAAATGATGCCGAGCAGCGTGGTCCTGCAGTGACATGCTGTCACCCTATGGTGGGTCCTATGGTGTGTCCTGGGTCCGATGGTGTGTCCTATGGTGTGTGTCCTATAGTGTGTGTCCTATGGTGTGTGTCCTATAGTGTGTGTCCTATAGTGTGTGTCCTATGGTGTGTGTCCTATACTGTGTGTCCTATAGTGTGTGTCCTATAGTGGATCCTATGGTGTGTCCTATAATGGATCCTATGGTGTGTAATAGAGGACAAGAACGTCCCAAACATCCCATACAAGTCAACCACAATAACAGAGTTCTATTGTTACTAGAGGCACAGCAATAAGACAGATGGAAGATATTAGTAAAAACATATTTACTGGAAATAACCCATCAGTGTCGGCGTTGCAATGCTATAAAACCATGTCACACACTACCATAGCATTTCCTCAAACTACTACACAAACATCATACCTGAAAAAGTGTAGTAGTGTGATGGCATACTGTATGCCAGCATCTCAAGAGTATACACTCTTTGAAAAAAGGGTTCCAAAAGGGTTCTTCGGCTGTCCCCCTAGGAGAACCCTTTTTGGTTCCAGGTAGAACTATTTTGGGGTCAGGTGGAACCCTTTTGAGTTCCATGTAGAACCCTCTGTGGAAAGGGTTCTACGTGGACCCCAAAAGGGTTCTACCTGGAACCAAAAAGGGTTCTTCAAAGGGTTCTCCTATGGGGACAGCCAAAGAACCCTTTAAAGTTCTAGATAGCACCTTTGTTTCTAAGAGTGTAGAGCCATGAGGCTGAGAGACTGAGAGGGTCAGGGTGCTAATCAGGATTTTTCTGGTGCTCTAAAACACATCCTTGGCTCTGCTCTCTCTCATGCCTCTGCTGCCTGAGCATATACACATACCCACAGGGGCCTACTCTCAATTAAAGCATGCATTGCATTAATTACTTAAAGGAGCTTTAATCAATCAAGCCCAGATGGTGAACATTAAAAAGAGCATAGAAGCATAGGCAGCAGCAGAAGTGCTCTTCTGAACTGTTGAAGGAGGCCAAATCAGTGTGCTCTTGGAAAAACTGTGCAAAAACCACCAGTGCAGAACTGATAACTGTAAATAAATAAATACAATTAAATGTAAAAATGTATCATGGTGTTGAAATTGTATTTTTATTTTCTATGTAACATGTAATTTATTCATTATTTATATTTTGGGGGGAATGTTCGTGTTGAATTTGTTGTCCTCAGGGAACCATTGAAAATGAGACCCTGGTCTCATGAGTCTCTCCTTGATTAAATAAAAAGTTACAAAAAACACAATTATAATAATAAATGTAATGATAATGTGCAGATATAATGAGCCACTATGTCATGTGTGCTCCTCATGTATTGGTAAATCCTAGTTGTGGAGCTGAGAGTCTGTAGTCCCTAGTCTGGCCCTGGTGCTGCTTTCCTCTCCAGGCGCCATATCCTCCATCTTCATATGGAGTGCCTTAATTGACATTGACAGTCAACTGAAGCATGGCTGAAAAATAGCCACATTAGGATGGGTATTAGTGACCCTCTCTTAACACCTGGAGAGAACATAACACCTCTCCCATCCTATCAGCTTATAGATGCCGCTTCACAGGTTTAACTCACGTCTCCTCCCTAAGTCACATTATAGAAGCAAACTGATATGGAATCAGTTGAACATCTACTGCAGTTGCACAATAGAATGGCTGTTCAGACTGAATTTACAAGCTGTGAGACATTGACCATTCTAGTCTAACTAGTGACTAACTATAATGCAACTCAATTTTCCATGCATTAAATGTTGCTGAGTCTGGGATGATATTTGTGTTTGGTCATCACACTGGACTTGGACTGGATCCCAAAGATATATAAAGTCCAACAAGTCATTACCTCTCTCACACTGTTTAACACAGTGGGCAGAGTTCCCTGACTGGCCATAACTTGGGCTGGGATCATTAGAGTGTTCTGAGGTTGGCGCTGCCAGCCTTATGGGGAGTTTCTGCATTACACAGGGGAGTCAGCAGCAGTGGTTCCCTGCCTGCCTCGCAGTGTGGCTTCTTCTCCAGAGCAGACTCACCCACAACACTTCATTTACAGCCTTCCCTACTGGAGTGCTCTAATGAAAAGCATGGTGGAGCCCGGCTGCTTTTGATTCTGCTAGCGAGGAATCATACATGATTGAGTAAAAGGCAGGCCAAATCACACATAAGACTTAAAGAGGCTGGATAGACTGGGGAAGCTGGGGAAAGGAGAGGGCAGAACATGGGAGACACGAGGTTAGAGGTACATGTGGAGGTTAAAAGAGGAGAGGAGAAGAGGGAGATGGGGGGAGATGGAAAGACAGAGTTACAGGGTGAGAGAGATAAAGGTCAAGACTAAAAGAGAGAGGAGGCTCTAGCTAGTGGATGACTTCCCCTTTATACCCCCACAACTGTTGTATCAGAAGGCTATAGAGTGTGACCTGATTCTCCTTCACGTCTCTCCCAGAGCAGAGAAGCAGTGTGCTCTAGCTGGATCTGTAGTTGGTTGCGGTGGCTGCATGGCCGCTGTAGCATGGTTGTGCATGCGGAGATCTCCCCGGCGATTACCAGATAAATGCACTTTAATTCCCAACACATGCGGCTGGGTTTATATATAGACTGGCTAATTCCCCATCGGTCACGCTGCAATATGAACTCCATACCGCACCAATTTAATTGTGTGACGAGTTCCAAGCAGACTGGCTCCACTACTTATCATATATATTACATGCTCCAGCACATGACTGGCCCAGGACCGACTGACAGACCAGGGGAATATATCACAAGCAGGAAAATGAAGATTATGGGTGGACCAGTGTGAATGGTTTATTATTAATGAGGATAGTGATTATCAGACTGGGCTGCTTCCCCGGCCTACAGACTGCTACCTTCTTCTCCCACATGGATAGAGCAGGAACATTAGTAGACATACAGTGCATACATACACTGTACTGCTGCTACACAGGAACAATCAGGCACAACCAGGCATAATAGACACCAGCCTACTTACTGTACAGTTTAACCGCTATCCAACACCATTAAATATCAATGATAAACAGCAATAGCACTGATAACACACCTATACATCCTTACCTCATTAACACTAAAACCGCTGGGCCTCGAGGGACCCCCATTCAAGCTAATGAGCAGTCATTTTGTCTGCAACATTCTAACAGTGTAATTAGTACATTTCACCTATGTTATCGCAAAAATAATCATGTGGTTGTGTTTATGAAGGTCTAAGGTAACATTAGAATACGATTTTTATTTTATTACAATTATCACAATAGCATTTTCATTCGTTTATGTTACTGTAGGCTTTATGTACAATTTTTTTTACAAAAGTGTTCAATCTATTTTATTATTGGAATGCCTTTGTTACAAATATGAAACAGAAAGTGGATGTGTTGGAATGCGGTAACAGCTTATTTCTATAACGACCCCTCAAAAATAATAACCCCAACCACCAAGACACGCGGTCAGCAAGACATGCGCTGTCAAATAATGACAACATCAGTAGCCTAAACATAATTAACATAATTAAGTGCCAAGTGTGCTTGATAAATAGTGAAAATCAGCACAAAAGCAAAAATGGCATTATAATGAATATGTGTTGATATGACAGCAGTCAAAAATAGTAAATTATCTATACATTGGATACCATAGTGAATTTGTCTGGTTATTTGTCATCAAAATGGAGGTAACAGATTATCTTTTTGAAGTGATCCTGTGACATGGCTTCTCCAAAGAATAATATTCCATACGTCAGTATGAAAAATGTATGCACTAACTGTAAGTCGCTCTGGATAAGAGCGTCTGCTAAATGACTAAAATTTAAATGTAATGTCTTTAAAAATATATATATATATTCAATTGGTAGTTACAGTCTTGTCCCATCGCTACAACTCCCGTACGGACTCGGGAGAGGCGAAGGTCGAGAGCCATGCGTCCTCGAAACACGACCCTGCCAAGCCGCACTGCTTGCTTAACCCGGAAGCCAGCCGCACCAATGTGTCGGAGGAAACACCGTACAACTGGCGACCGTGTCAGCGTGCATGCGCCCGGCCCGCCACAGGAGTCGCTAGAGCGCGATGGGACAAGGACATCCCGGCCGGCCAAACCCTCCCCTAACCCAGACAACGCTTGGCCAATTCTGCGCCGCCTCATGGGTCTCCCGGGATCAAACCCGGGTCTGTAGTGACCCCTCAAGCACTGCGATGCAGTGCCTTAGACCGCTGCGCCACTCGGGAGGCCCTTATTCCATACATGTCTGACCAGAAGCTCTCCATATACACGCTATTTCCACCGAATGCTCCACGGACATACAGGATTGAAATGAACGCTTCCAGCTCATCAACAGACAGATCCCAGGCAGTGTCTCCTTGCTCCATGTGCGCCTTAGCCACAGTACCTGAATGCTGTAGCATGTCCGTGTCACATAAACAAAAGCTGGTGAGTGCATTGCTAATATTGTTTTGTGCTTGAGATATAGGGCCTGCTCTCTCAGTGATGACATTTTGTGCTGATAATCGGCCCGTAGCATTGTCACCGGTTTGTTCTATCTAAACGGTGCTGTCTCTGGTGCTGTCCCTCTCTCTCCTGTCTCAACGTTTCATTTGGTAGTGGCGCCGGCATCTGCTCAGTGCGTGCCGTTCTGGCTTTTTTGCGCTTAGGCCATGCAGGTGTAGGTTATTCAGGTTGAGGCTCAGAATCAGAAGAAAAATCATCAGAGATGTCATGAATCATTTCTTCCCCGCCATCTGAGTCGTTTTCATTCAGGTCTTGGGCTTCTTGTTATTGTAAATTACTCACGCTGTCAATGTTCTCCAAGTAGGCCAGAGTAGACTGATGAGACTGCTTGGATTTGGTGGACTGATATAGGGTACACACCATTATGAGATTAGAATTAGAACAGATCAATACAATAGAATGGCCCACCCTGTTCATCATTCACAATTAGTGATTACATAACTATGCATGTTTGCTTCCCCTTGTTCATCAACTCACCCATTCTCCCCCATCATACTTAACCTCACTTATTTCATCTGTTGTTATGGGTGAAATTAGTTTTGGTACAGTTTAGGTTCAGTTTTGAAGCAATTATCGGGGTGATTATGACTAAAATGTAAATGTAAATTATCAACTCGGCACCACACATTCTACTGTTGGGAAAAGGAGCGGAGCAGGCCCTACTGTCGGGAGAACGAGGGGCAAGGGGGGGAAACCATTTAAAAAATGACATGCCCTCATAAAACTGGCTATAACTACAGTTCTGTTTGTGCTATTAAGATTCTAACAACTGCAGTGTGTAATTTAGACTTATTTAGGAAACGTCTAGGACGGAGAAAGGCATGACTTAAAAAATGGCAGAGTATTAAACAGATTAAATTCATGAGCAGTCAAAATGACTGCTTTAGTGGTTCTAGTGTTAATGTTTATTAACGTCCAAATTATCCTCCGCAAGTTCTTTGGCCGTCATCATTCATCATAAACTCGGCTACTGTTAAACAGGTCAGATGTATTTCCTTGACCTAGATATTGTGTCTTTATTGAGCAATGTTGGCCTGATGATCAGTAATAAGATGAGAAGGCATTTTTCCTGCCTGCACACCTGCTTTCAGATTAAAGCATTAGAAATAACAAAACATCTTAATTGAAACTTTGGCAACAGTTCTAACCATCAAAGTTATCCACAGCCAAAACATGCACCACACCACTCAGTCCCATGCATACTAATCTGTGTTGCTCTGCTAAGCTGATCAAACATCATTCATCTATTTGTAAATGGGTAAATGAATACATTCCACTACTACAGCCAGCTGGAGCCTGCGAGCCCCATTGATTGTTGGCACCCACGCTATGACTCACCGAGCTGTGTGTGTGTTTGTGTGTTTGTGTGTGTGTGTGTGTGTGTGTGTGTGTGCACGTGTGTGTTACTCTAAAGAAGACTGGATTACTTGAGAACAGTCTGGAGCTGATGAGATGATGTCTGGCCAGCTCTGGTCCTACAGAGGCAGAGCCCCTAGTGACTTGGCTGGCTGTTTGACCAGGGAGAGTGGCAGTCAGAGTGGAGGGTCTGAGGAGGACTGGAGAGGGAGAGGACCGAGGAGCCATGGGAGCAGGGGCACAAGCGTAGAAAATTGAGGCCACAGCTAGTTCAGGTCTGGGGGAAAAGGAAGCAGGAGCCCTCATTTCATCCTACACAGGGTTTGGCAATTACTGGTGACAGCGGCTGGCACGGTGATGGGGAAAAGATTGATCCGGACAAGCAAGACTCTGTTTGCTTTGTTAAAAGTAATTAATCACAGTGGCTGGGAGTAATGGTGTCTGGAGTGCATTGCAGTTCTACTGTGTGTGTGCGTGTGTGCTGAAGAGAGGATGGAGTGGAGTGAGAAAAGCTATGGGAGAAAGAGTTAAAGATGAAAGAAGGGAGGGAAAGAGAGAATGAGTGCACATTGCACCCATTTATTCACAGGCAAGCATTCAGGAAGACCACCAGTGCCATCCATCATAAGAGTCATATCCACACCACTGAGCAGGGGGCTACAGCATGGGGAGGGGAGGTGGTCACAGGAGGAGTAAAAGAGGAAAGAGGAGGAGGGAGAAACCATGTCTTACTTTAATTCTCCTTCACTCTCCTCTCTGTCACATTTTGGCAGCTTAAAAAATATAAAGGTGATAAATAAAACTTTTTCCAGTCAAAATGACCAGGAGAAAAAAAATCCCATTGCAAAATAATGCTTTTTATTAACTGGTATTTCCAGTCGATGGAAATACATTTGACCGTCATGCTTATCAGTCTATAGGTAAATTTACATAATTTAGTGGAATTAAATTGGCCTGTGTGTATTTTCAGTAGTCATCATGTATCTTATTTATCCAACACAACTATCACACGCACAGCAGGGATTTCTCCTGCAGCTACTCAGCTGGTCACTGCTGGAGTAAAACGTGCTTTTATAAGCCCATTCAATGGGCTAAACGCAATCTCGTGTTAAAAACTGTTTTGGTGCACGATTAAAAATAGCTACTATTTTTATTTCTCAACTGGTAATTGAAGTGCGCCTCCCATTCACCATTCAAGTGCAGGCAACAGGCTATCAGCACGTCACCCACCACTTCATAATAGATCCCCACAGTGGAGGTGTCATAATACCCATAAAACCTAGTCAAACAGGGAAATGGTTCCAATCGTTTTCCCATCATTCATTTTTCCCATAGGGGATCTTAGAAACACTTAAAATATGGGATGTGTTTTGTATAGACTTACGCTGGCGTGACGTTTTGATAACCATGTAAATCTCTCTCGGACAAGGTGACTTTTATCAATATATTCAGCTCTATTTACTCTCAGATTCGAAAATGCTAATTAGCATCAAAGTAGAAATCATGCAAAACTACAAATCCCTGCAAGCACCTGCACGTCATCTCTAGCTGACACCTTTGCTAACAGGTATTGTGTCAATTTAAAACTTGCACAAGACAGTTCACAGAATTGTCAATTTAAAGAAATGTATCCAATTTATTCATTACTACATTTAGCTAACATTAGATACAGTTGAAGTCGGAGGTTTACATACACTTAGGTTGGAGTCATTAAAACTCATTTTCAACCACTCCACAAATTTCTTGTTAACAAACTATAGTTTTGGGAAGTCGGTTAGGACATCTATTTTGTGCATGACACAAGGAATTTTCCAACAACTGTTTACAGACAGATTATTTCACTTATAATTCACTGTATCACAATTCCAGTGGGTCAGAAGTTTACATTCACTAAGTTGACTGTGCCTTTAGACAGCTTGGAAAATTCCAGAAAATGATGTCATGGCTTTAGAAGCTTCTGATAGGCTAATTGACATAATTTGAGTCAATTGGAGGTGTACCTGTGGATGTACTTCAAGGACTACCTTCAAACTCAGTGCCTCTTTGCTTGACATCATGGGAAAATCAAAAGAAATCAGCCAAGACCTCAGAAAAAAAATTGTAGACCTCCACAAGTCTGGTTCATCCTTGGGAGCAATTTCCAAACGCCTGATGGTACCACGTTCATCTGTACAAACAATAGTACGCAAGTATAAACACCATGGGACCACGCAGCCGTCATACCGCTCAGGTAGGAGACGCGTTCTGTCTCCTAGAGATTGTTAGATTAATTTGGATTTTAAGAATAATTACTAAAGAATTTCACCCCCAAACACAGTATAAATGTTAGAATTATCATGTAGTGTCAACCCACTAACAGAGGGGGCGTTACTAACCATTCAAGGGGGAAGGCGGGAACTGTTTAAGAAAGCCACCTAAAGGTGGGAGGAGCATAGTGTCTTTGTTTGTCAAGGGGTATAAAAACAGTATGTTTGTGTTTTTGAGCAGAGCTCTCCTTAAATAAAATTTACTGATAATTACTCGTGGATTGTGGACCTTGAATCATTGATGATTAAAACCAGAGCTTTACAACCTCTGGTAATGATTCAAGCTTAGGTTGAATTAGAGATAAAAATTCACATGACAGAGATGAACGTACTTTGGTGCGAAAAGTGCAAATCAATCCCAGAACAACAGCAAAGGTCCTTGTGAAGATGCTGGAGGAAACAGGTACAAAAGTATCTATATCCACAGTAAAACGAGTCCTATATCGACATAACCTGAAAGGCCGCTCAGCAATGAAGAAGCCACTGCTCCAAAACCGCCATAAAAAAAACCGACTACGGTTTGCAACTGCACATGGGGACAAAGATCGTACTTTTTGGAGAAATGTCCTCTGGTCTGATGAAACAAAAATAGAACTGTTTGGCCATATTGACCGTCGTTATGTTTGGAGTAAAAATGGTGAGGCTTGGAGCCGTAGAACACCATCCCAACCGTGAAGCATAGGGGTGGCAGCATCATGCTGTGGTGGTGCTTTGCTGCAAGAGGGACCGCTGCACTTCACAAAATAGATGGCAGCATGAGGAAGGAAAATGTTGTGGACATATTGAAGAACATCTCAAGACATCAGTCAGGAAGTTAAAGCTTGGTCGCAAATGGGTCTTCCAAATGGACAATGACACAAGCATACTTCCAAAGTTATGGAAAAATGGCTTAAGGACAACAAAGTCAAGTTATTGGAGTGGCCATCACAAAGCCCTGTCCTCAATCCTATAGAAAAATTGTGTCCATAACTGAAAAAGCGTGTGCGAGCAAGGAGGCCTACAAACCTGACTCAGTTACACCAGCTCTGTCAGGAGGAATGGGCCAAAATTCACCCAACCTATTGTGGGAAGCTTGTGGAAGGCTACCCGAAACGTTTGACCCAAGTTAAACAATTTAAATGTAACGCTACCAAATACTAATTGAGTGTATGTACACTTCTGACTCACTGGGAATGTGATGAAAGAAATAAAAGCTGAAATAAATCATTCTCTCTACTATTATTCTGACATTTCACATTCTTAAAATAAAGTGGTGATCCTAACTGACCCAAAACAGGGATTTTTTTACTAGGATTAAATGTCAGGAATTGTGAAAAACTGAGTTTAAATGTATTTGGCTAAGGTGTATGTAAACTTCCGACTTCAACTGTATGCACGCACCACTTTTCCGTTATTTATTTTTTAGAATTCTTTTAAACAAGTAATTTTTTTCATTTCACTTCACCAATTTGGACTATTTTGTGTATGTCCATTACATGAAATCCAAATAAAAATCAATTTAAATTACAGGTTGTAATGCAACAAAATAGGAGGTCTGAGGTCTTGACTGATTTCTTTTGATTTTCCCATGATGTCAAGCAAAGAGGCACTGAATCTGAAGGTAGGCCTTGAAATACATCCACAGGTATACCTCCAATTGACTCAAATGATGTCAATTAGCCTATCAGAAGCTTCTAAAGCCATGACATCATTTTCTGGAATTTTCCAAGCTGTTTAAAGGCACAGTCAACTTAGGTGTCACGCCCTGACTCAGGGGACTCTTATATGTTGAGTCAGGGTGTGAATATTCTATGTTGTGTTTTCTATGTTGTCATTCTAGTATGTGTAGATCTAGGTACCCAATCAGAGGCAGCTGTCGCTCGTTGTCTCTGATTGGGGATCATACTTAGGCAGCCTATTGGCACTCGTTAGTTGTGGGATCTTGTTTTGTGTGCAGCCTTAGGACTTCACGGTTTGTTGGTTTGTCGTGTGTTTATCAGTTAAATGGTCCTCTGTAGCTCAACTGGTAGAGCACGGCGCTTGTAACGCCAAGGTAGTGGGTTCGATCCCCGGGACCACCCATACACAAAAATGTATGCACGCATGACTGTAAGTCGCTTTGGATAAAAGCGTCTGCTAAATGGCATATTATTATTATTAAATAAACATGTACGTATTTCACGCTGCGCCTTGGTCTGACCCGTCCTTGAACTAACGTGACATTAGGGTATGTAAACTTCTGACCCACTGGAATTGTGATACAGTGAATTATAAGTGAAATAATCTGTCTGTAAACAATTGTTGGAAAAATTACTTGTGTCATGCACAAAGTAGATGTCCAGCCCTCCTTGCCAAAACGATAGTTTGTTAACAAGACATTTGTGGAGTGCTTGAAAAACAAGTTTTAATGACTCCAACCTAAGTGTATGTAAATTTCCGACTTCAACTGGTGCAACCAATTACCTTCAGAAGTCACATAATTAGTTAAATAAAGTCCACCTGTGTGCAATCTAAGTGTCACATGATCTGTCACATGATCTCAGTATATATACACATGTCCTGAAAGGCCCCAGAGTCTGCAACACCACTAAGCAAGGGGCACCACCAAGCAAGCGGCACCATAAAGACCAAGGAGCTCTCCAAACAGGTCAGGGACAAAGTTGGGTTGGGTTCTAAAAAAATATCAGAAACTTTGAACATCCCACGGAGCACCATGAAATCCATTATTAAAAAATGGAAAGAATATGGCACCACAACAAACCTGCCAAGAGAGGGCCGCCCACCAAACCTCATGGACCAGGCAAGAAGGGCATTAATCCGAGAGGCAACAAAGAGACCAAAGATAACCCTGAAGGAGCTGCAAAGCTCCACAGCGGAGATTGGAGTGTCTGTCCATAGGACCACTTTAAGCCGTACACTCCACAGAGCTGGGCTTTACGGAAGAGTGGCCTGAAAAAAGCCATGCTTAAAGAAAAGTATTCGCCAAAAGGCATGTGGGAGACTCCCCAAACATATGGAAGAAGGTACTCTGGTCAGATGAGACTATAATTGAGCTTTTTGGCCATCAAAGAAAACGCTATGTCTGGCGCAAACCCAACACCTCTCATCACCCCGAGAACACCATCCCCACAGTGAAGCATGGTGGTGGCAGCATCATGCTGTGGGGATGTTTTTCATCGGCAGGGACTGGGAAACTGGTCAGAATTGAAGGAATGATGGATGGCGCTAAATACAGGGAAATTCTTGAGGGAAACCTGTTTCAGTCTTCCAGAGATTTGAGACTGGGACGGAGGTTCACCTTCCAACAGGACAATGACCCTAAGCATACTGCTAAAGCAACACTTGAGTGGTTTAAGGGGAAACATTTTAATGTCTTGGAATGGCCTAGTCAAAGCCCAGACCTCAATCCAATTGAGAATCAGTGGTATGACTTAAAGATTGCTGTACACCAGCGGAATCCATCCAACTTGAAGGAGCTGGAGCAGTTTTGCCTTGAAGAATGGGCAAAAATCCCAGTGGCTAGATGTGCCAAGCTTATAGAGATGTACCCCAAGAGACTTGCAGCTGTAATTGCTGCAAAAGGTGGCTCTACAAAGTATTGACTTTGGGGGGGGGGGGGGGTAAATAGTTATGCACGCTCAAGTTTTCTGTTTTTTTGTCTTATTTCTTGTTTGTTTCACGATAAAAAATATTTTGTATCTTCAAAGTGGTAGGCATGTTGTGTAAATGAAATGATATAACCCCCCAAAAAATCAATTTTAATTCCAGGTTGTAAGGCAACAAAATAGGAAAAATGCCAAGGGGGGTGAATACTTTCGCAAGTCACTGTATGTCTGATCTCGCAAACAGTGTAAAGTATGTATAGATACGTGTAATCTGGAGCCAAGAGTGTTGATTTTTAATCTGAAGGTATCCTGCTATTGTCACACTTGTTGAATTATGCAATAGAACGTGACAACAACAGTAATTAATGAGGCAGTCTAGACAGCGCAGGTGAGTGCAGGTAGGCCTAGACAGAGGAAGTTTGTGTAGTTGAAGCCCTGTTCCACTCCTTTATGTTAATATATTAATATATGCAAATACACCCAGAGTATTTATGCAAAGGAGGCACACATAATTTTCTTAATTTTAACACAATTTGCATTGAATAGATGTTATTTTATATTCTCAAACGAACAGCAGTGCCTATATGATGTCCTTTCATAAAGGTGTGACATGCTGAAGTGATGCTTCTATGCAAATGTTGTTGATCAGTAGGCTAACAGAAGTCCCAAGCACCATAGACTCCAAAACGAGCTCAATAACTCAATGCATGCACACACTCCTATTGAATATGCATTCACCTGTATTGTGAGTAGGCCTATGCCATCTTAATTTACCCAGTTTATCAAGAGATTTGCCATTCAAATAAAATTATTACCATTATATTGTCATAGTTATATTGGTAAAAACAAAGTAAAATGTCTTGTTTGATTTAAAAAGTGATGCATTAATGCATACATGGCTGTCTCTGGGAAATTTGGTCATCAACATTTTCTAATTTAATTATATTAAATATCGGCCTCTGGCTTAAAAAAACCTATATTGGTCGATCTCTAAGGATTTTAATCAATTGAATACATGAATTCCCACCAAAATCCCAAAACTTAATTAATTATTTGTCCATGCCAGTAAAATGTTTTATGTGCTATAATTAATTCAATACCTGATGGATGGATTTTCTTCATCCATTGTCCAACTATTGCATTTATTAGAATTGTTTTTTAAACCTTTTAACAATTTTGATGACCGTTGCTAATATCATTTATCATATTAGGGGGTATGAAGATAACATCATACAGTATTCCTACCTATTTTCCTGTGCTACTCTATGTGTTAAGTGATTGATATGATTCAGTAGCATCCAGTGATTCATCATGATGCTAGCAAGCCCATCAGGCTACAGGTAGGTAGGTGTCTTTTACCATATGCGTCCCAAATTACACCTTATTCCCTATGCAGTGCACTACTTTTGACCAGAGCCCTAGGGCCCTGGTCAAAAGTAGTGCACTATAAAGTAAAGGGAATAGCATTTGGGATGCTAACCCAGTGTTTTCTGCTGTACGAGAGCCCCCCATGATAGCATGCTCTCTCTGTGCAGCTGAAATTGGCTGCCCCGTTTTCAGCCCTTTCAGCCTGTCTGCCCCCCAGAGCTCCTATAGATGAAGAGGGTTTTTAGAGTGCTTGAGGGGATTTAATTCAAACTGTTGTGTTTCATGTCCCCCACAGGGGGTCGGTCTGTGCTCCTCTGCCAGGGGGCTAAGAGGTAAAGGTCCCCAGGGATGGAGATGGGGACAGGGGAGCACTGATCTGACACACACACACACACATGACAGAGGCATGGCACAGATGCATACGGTACGGCTGCACAGGGCTTCACTGTCAGTGACCACACAGAAATAACAGGGGAGAAAATAGGGCCCATGGACCATTAAGAAGGGGCAGGGATAGCTATTGGGATGAATCCATCTTAGTTCCATTTTCTCCTCTCCTTCGCTCCTGACCGCATGTGCTGCCATAGAAATAGAATGAATAGAACGGGCGTCCCCATTCAAGTCAATGATGGCATAATGAGTGGGCTGGGGGCCATTGCGAGTGTACCCATAGGAGCAAAGCAGGAAGTGAAATATGTGCTAAAATGTGTGCTGTGATTTGTTGATTCAACTCAACTGACATTACAAAAAATACATTTAATTGCATGACCACATCAATTAACATAATTTGAATGAACATTCTACATTACCATGGACATTTTTGCATCACAATACCAGGCAGCAATTGCGAGTGTGCCTATGAGTTTACCAGTCCAATTGCCAGGGTTAAAGGTTCCAAGCATGTTCTATTCATTCTATTTCTATGTTTGCTGCTGCTGCATTGTGGTCAACCTCAACCTTTATTCCAATGAAATCTCTTTAATTAAAACAATGATATCAAGTCCCTCAGCTCCCAGATGAGATTTCCCATGAGCAAGACACCCCTGTATCCGGCACTCCTGCTGATATAGAAATAAACACAACAACAGCCTGAACGCTCTGGGCTTTGGGTTACCTCACCATAGCTGTGACAAACAGCTCTTGAAATGAATGACAAACACCACTTCAAGGTTTATGGCTTTTTGCTCGATAGAAATGAAAACCCAACAGTTCATGCATGACTGAATAAGAAATAAAATCACGCCACAGAGTGGGGCATCTCTAACTAAAGCCTTCAGAGAGAGAGAGAGCGTACTACCTACTGTCAAGCACCAGTGAGCAGGCTCCAAGCTTCTTTCCTATAAAGCTAAACAGCACCCTATGTACCCTATCAACCCCAAACATGAACAATACACATACACAATAATACAAACACACACATCTCTATGGTATGAGAACTGGAAAGGGCTGCCTGACATTTTCCTCTACTTCTCACTGTGTCATCTGAAACGATCTTTCTCACCTTCAGCGCCAGCTACAAAATAATGCCACTGAATAATCCATACAGTTCATATTGGAAAAGCATGTGTGTAAGCGTACACGTGTGTGTGTGTGTGTGTGTGTGTGTGTGCGTGTGTACGTGCGTGCATGCGAGCTATGAGCTCTGAGTTGTCTTATTAAAACCCTAGCCAGGAGAGAGCGTGGTAATTACACAGTCCCTCGCCAACACCTTTTGGACTTTGGGCCAAATCCAATGTGTGGCTCCAAATGTCATGCCTCTTAGCCGACAATTAAAATGACACTCCCCCTCAGTGGCTTTTTTAATGGGCTTCCTCAACTAGAAATAATACCATAAAGGTCTCCTCATACCAGTTCCTGGTTACTGAACTATCTGAATGTTGTCATTAATTAGCAGGATAGCAAATAATGGATAGCAAATAATTACACCTTGGCAACACATCCAAAAACAAGCAGAGAATGTCAGGAACACAAACATAATCAATACCTACACAGAGACACAAAGCACAAAGACCAAGGTTGGAGACAGCTAACGCCCATACATTCCTGTACACCTAGCTAGCACAGTGCTGGGCTTGACATCCCTCTCTGTTGATCTCCACAGGGCCTTCTGCATGAGGCCCACATGTGATGTTGCTGAAGCCCTGGTCTGATCTACTCTGGTCACCCCAAAGTCACCCTACAATGGCAAACGTCCAATTAATGGGCCTGTATCTATGCATAGGCTGTCACAATGGCAGCAGCCCCCCGGCCTCCTCCCTTTGCTGGGCAGCACCACTACAGTGGGTGCTCAGTGTTTGTGTCACCTCCTAATTGCATTTCTCCCCCATGGTAGAGGTATGGCCTTGTGAAGCCACCTCGAGGAAGAAAAAGAGAGTCAGACTGCCAATTTGAGCTGGCAGGTGGAGAGGAGCAGAGGCACTTAGTCTTGTTCTGGAGGAGAATGGAAAGCTTCTGCTCGTCTATGGAAACCAGGACAAACAAAAGAGATGAGTAAAGGGGAAAGAGACAAATCCCCCTCTTTTCCTCCAGGCCCTTCGCTGGGTGTGTCTGGGAGAGAGTCCCAGTGTGGGTACGTGTCTGTGATTGAACAGGGGACAGGGGGAAGGCTTTTAACGTGACACAGATTGCAGGCCCCAATGCTGTATGTGCCTCTCTTTCAGGTAGGCTATACAATACTGTCTATTATTTTTACCATGTGGGAAGACTGGATTTTCTCTCCAGTCACAGAAAGTGGGGACATCTGATATAATCATATGCATATCCTCCATTCTTTAATACTTACTCCAAGGACACTGAGTCACAATTCTGTCACATTCACTCCATTGAAAATGAAAGCTCTCTACGCAATGTGGTTTCATGGCACTTAGCGGACACTCAAAGTGATAGCAAAACTGCAGTATGATGTACTTAGCTTTTCTTAAAACATTCTTAATGGGACAATAAAAAGACAATACGTTCTGCTTCTAGGGCCAGCAAATTGATTTTTAAAATTTGTAAAATCATCTTTCTTTGTAGGAAGTGAATCATAAGGTCAGGTGTGTATACTTCGTCATGACAGAACACACTTGGTGGTGGCTAATGGAAGAGTGTTTTTACAGTAAGTAAATTACAAATGGCCTTTCAGTGATGTTAAGGGAGGTACGCCCTGCTTCAAACGCACTCTTCTCAGCCTTGAATAGATTTGTTTTGAAAAAGAAGCAGTGAACCTTGAAATACTTTTCTCTCGATTCATTACTGAATTACTTTTAAAACGTGACAGAAAGGGAGAGCGAGCCGAAGAGGGAGCTAGGGAGAATGAAAGGAAAAGGTACTTAAAGGCATGCAGGCTGCATAAAGAACAGCGAGAGGAGGAGATAATCCCCTTCCCTGCACTCTGTTTGAGGCCCTCTGAAAGTAGTACCTTCAGGAGAGAAAGAGGAAATCAATACCCTGATACAGAGCGCAACTGCAATATCCAAGTTAAAAGGATAGCCAACCCAGATACATATCCCCCTTTGGCCAGCCCTCTCCTGGTGGGTTGACTTCCACACTGAAGGGCCGTGGCTGTTTAGAAGAGCAGTCAAGATAATCTCAACAGAGCCCCCTATTTGCATGCCTGTGTCTGAGGGAGTCTGAGAGAGGCTGTCTGTCTGTCAGGATTACAGCTGGGCGATATGGACATATAGCGAGAAATTGCCTGAATTGATGCGATAACGATAAATAGAAGGATAGTTAATAACATTAATGTGCACCTCAGTTTTTATCTTTTAAAATTATCCTTTAAACTACTACTGCTAGTTTGATAGTTGTAGCCATCAATATTCCCATTAACAATAACCCATATTAGCGAATGGATTTAATTTCAAACTTCACATTTCTCTAGTATAGGCTACTTATTGTAATGAACAATATCAGCAAAATCCCTGTAATAAGTGATCGGTATGGTCAGTGTCGAAAATGTTCTGTTTATCGTCCCAGCTCTAGTCAGAATGGAGGATGTCAGTGAGCCAGGGGAATTTCAGGAGGACGTCAGTGAGCCAGGGGAATTTCAGGAGGACGTCAGTGAGCCAGGGGAATTTCAGGAGGATGTCAGTGAGCCAGGGGAATTTCAGGAGGACGTCAGTGAGCCAGGGGAATTTCAGGAGGATGTCAGTGAGCCAGGGGAATTTCAGGAGGATGTCAGTGAGCCAGGGGAATTTCAGGAGGACGTCAGTGAGCCAGGGGAATTTCAGGAGGACGTCAGTGAGCCAGGGGAATTTCAGGAGGACGTCAGTGAGCCAGGGGAATTTCAGGAGGACGTCAGTGAGCCAGGGGAATTTCAGGAGGACGTCAGTGAGCCAGGGGAATTTCAGGAGGACGTCAGTGAGCCAGGGGAATTTCAGGAGGATGTCAGGGGGACGTCAAGGGTACATGGCAGCTCCGGTCAGCGGATCACCATGGGTCACCAGCCAGGTCCCACCCCCAGGGAATAGCAGCCATTGTTTATGGAGAAGGACCGTTTCTATTGGCTAGTCAGCCATGAGCTCTGTGATGTCCTATTACACAGTCAGGAAGTGATGTTACATAGCTTAATTACCACACTGTATGACTGTTAAACACAGTCATGTGGTAAGCTAAAACAACTTTATTCTGGGATGACACTTGGTGATCTGACTCTGTCCTGTAGAGGGTGAATTAAGTGTGTTGGGTGGAGGGAGGTGGAGGGATGTGACAGGTGAAGGGCTGGGGTGGGGTGGCTGGGGGGAGAGATGACGGCTGGGAAAGAGAGAGAGGAGGAAGCAAGGTCAGCCACCAAGAGCACTGCCATCACTCCAACACTGACCCATCTGCCCTGGAAGGCACACGCACGCACACACGTACGCACACATGCGCACGCGCAAACACACAAACACACACTCACAGAATGCAGCTGTCCTAGCCTTTCAGCTAAAGGCCCGCGTCCGCTGAATCAAGACAAACAGAAGTGTGACGGTCAAGACACCCGAGTCAATCACAGAGCCATATTTATCAGGCCCCCCAGACAGACAGACAGACACACACACACACACACACACACACACACACACACACACACACACACACACACACACACACACACACACACACACACACACACACACACACACACACACACACACACACACACACACACACACAGTGGGTAATGCCATCAGCTCCACAGGGTGTCTTTAACTGTGCTCCTATAGTGTGAGCCATCACTACTATCTCCTTGTCACAGAGACCATGTTGTGAACATAGCTATAATAAAAGGGTTATCCTCTACATGCACAGACAGAAACCCTCCTCTGCCTCCAAAACTACTGAATTCTCCTGACCCAGTGCAGCACAGGACACAGCCATTACAGTGAATCACCTTAAACGGTCTGCGTTTAACTCTGTTGACTGACTGACTGACTGGGCCTTTGAATATCTTCTTCCTATTTTGAAATAGAACCTGAGCTCTGGCCCTGGGGAGCTGGGGAGATGGGCCTCGCCCCCTCACAGCACTGCCTCATGTTTTTCAAAACAAGACCCTGGACACAAATGGAAAGAACAGAGATTTAGGGAAAGGAGAGAGGGAGCGAGGGAGGGAGAAAGGGCAGAAGAGAAAGGGACAGAGATGACTCCATCCAGACAGACGGTTAAGTAAGACATCTGAAGTCATTTCACAAATAAATACGTTATTAAAACAAGATGAATAACTCTATTTTCCCGCTCTCTCTCTCCTCCCATCCTACACTCCTTTCCTTTAGGGCGCAGAGCCCTTTAAAAGGCCCTTTTTGATGCTGCTGAATATTCTCTGTCTCTATGGAGCAATTACAGCTGCCATATAAAATGAAGCACAGAAGCAGTCCCCCAAAAGGCCTAGTGCCGTACCCAGGGGAACCCCCCTGACCCCTCTCCCCCCAACCCTGCAACTCCCCGCCTGAGATCCCACCCTCAAACCCTGAACTCTAAAGAATGCACTCCAGGCCTGCAGTGTCCCACCAACATCAGAAGAGAGGGAGTAGGACCCAGGGGAGCTCTGTAGATAGTTATCCTACTCTGTACCTCTCTCTGAACACACCCTAACAGACCACCCCCTAACTCCCCACTGAGCACACACTTAAATCAGGAAATCCTATTCCCTGTACTGAGCAGAGGCTGAGGTCCCACCCAGCTATGCAGCCAGCCATCCAGCCATCCAGCCAGCCAGCCATCCAGCCAGCCAGCCATCCAGCCAGCCAGCCAGCCTACCCACATCAGAATAAGATGGGCCATTGGAGTTGAGATTACTCTATTTAGCAGGCTAAAGGCGTCAGCATGCTTCAGTTCGGCTGTCTTCGGCTAGCCAAACCGAATGAGTGTGATCGAATGCTCCCGAAAACGTTTTTTTAAAACAACGAACGTGGCAATATTACCCCGATTAGAAGTTAGTAGGGCTCTTTTTTATTTTCTAAGTACTAAGTTAGGTAGGAGGATTTAGAAATGTGAAGCTAATGTTGTAAACCGTGATTGACCACACACTCCAGCACAGTAGGTGGCGGCATGCACCTTTAACGTTTGTTTGCAGGCCGCCGTTATATCATAGAAAAAGAAGACACTTGACTGGCGAGAACATTTTATTTGTGTGAATTTCCCGGGATCTACAAGATTTGATGTACCTAGCAACACATAATAGGTGAGATACGGAGACAGAGAAAATGCCCGCTACAGGTTGACAATGGTGGATGTAGGGGCATACGGCTGAGAGAGCGATGGTGGAGTGTTTCAAAACAGATCTTTTGGGTGCAAACTGCTGCAGAAGACCCTCGATTTACCACCACCAGCTGTCCTGCCAGGTACCACAATGCCAAGTCCTCATGTTTTCCAGGGAGATGCAGTTTTCCCCATATATGAGAATCTCATGCGCCCTTATTCAAGTATGTTGATAATAGAATGTTGGAATCAATTTAACCTTTTCTGTTTCTGATGTATGCACCTCTATATGAGAAGTGCCATTTTATCAAGGCTTTTGGAATATGGTTCCTGGAAAATGGTATGGTGTTTATTTTGTTTACCAAATATATATTACATATATTCTGTTGTTACCTCTCCTTCACAGGTGTCCATGTCAATAAACCTGGGCGTACCTGGTACTACCACTCTCGTTTTCGGAGAGTCAGAGAATGTATTCAGCATCATGGCTGCAAGGATGAGGATTATTGGACGCACAGACTCAGTTCTTTGTGTGCACTGAACCAGTAGAGTTTTAATCTTGTTAATAAAATGAAACCTGATTATGGTACGTCTGTGTGCAGTAATTTAGATTACATTGAACTACACCACAAGTAGAAGAAAGCCTGTAAAGTCTATGGCACACAGCTCTTCTCTACGTTGTCAGCACTTGATCTAATAGAATGCATTGAAACACCTTGAAGAAATGCCAACAGAGCTTTTTTCAGCACACAAATAAACCTTTATTCTTGTTTCTGAAAGTAAACCACAATACAAAAGTCTCTGCTGAGAACAGACATGTAAACAAGTGTCTATGGAATAAAATTTAAGTGTAGTTACACATATTTCTAAACAATAGTAAAACAGTGTCTGTTATGAACAGTAATGTGAACAACAAAAGTGTCTATGGAATAACATGAAAGTGTCTAGTGTCTGACTCCTGAGATGTCTGAACAACAACACAACAAGTTGTAGTCCCAGTCGTTTGGTCCATGTCCTCTTCTTGAAGTCATGCACAAACTCATGCAGCTGGTGATCGAATTCCTCCCAGAGTTTTGGCGAGAGTTCATCCATGAAATCAGCTATACAGTGGCTTGCAAAAGTATTCACCCCCCTTCACATTTTTCCTATTTTGTTGCCTTACAACCTGTAATTAAAGTTGATTTTTGGGGGGTTTGTATCATTTGATTTACACAACATGCCTACCACTTTGAAGATGCAAAATATTTTTTATTGTGAAACAAACAAGAAATAAGACAAAAAAACAGAAAACTTGAGCGTGCATAACTATTCACCCCCCCCAAAGTCAATACTTTGTAGAGCCACCTTTTGCAGAAATTACAGCTGCAAGTCTCTTGGGGTATGTCTCTATAAGCTTGGCACATCTAGCCACTGGGATTGTTGCCCATTCTTCAAGGCAAAACTGCTCCAGCTCCTTCAAGTTGGATGGATTCCGCTGGTGTACAGCATTCTTTAAGTCATACCACAGATTCTCAATTGGATTGAGGTCTGGGCTTTGACTAGGCCATTCCAAGACATTAAAATGTTTCCCCTTAAACCACTCAAGTGTTGCTTTAGCAGTATGCTTAGGGTCATTGTCCTGCTGGAAGATGAACCTCCGTCCCAGTCTCAAATCGCTGGAAGACTGAAACAGGTTTCCCTCAAGAATTTCCCTGTATTTAGCGCCATCCATCATTCCTTCAATTCTGACCAGTTTCCCAGTCCCTGCCGATGAAAAACATCCCCACAGCATGATGCTGCCACCACCATGCTTCACTGTGGGGATGGTGTTCTCGGGGTGATGAGAGGTGTTGGGTTTGCGCCAGACATAGTGTTTTCCTTGATGGCCAAAAAGCTCAATTTTAGTCTCATCTGACCAGAGTACCTTCTTCCATATGTTTGGGGAGTCTCCCACATGCCTTTTGGTGAACACCAAACGTGTTTGCTTATTTTTTTCTTTAAGCAATGGCTTTTTTCTGGCCACTCTTCCGTAAAACCCAGCTCTGTGGAGTGTACGGCTTAAAGTGGTCCAATGGACAGATACTCCAATCTCCGCTGTGGAGCTTTGCAGCTCCTTCAGGGTTATCTTTGGTCTCTTTGTTGCCTCTCTGATTAATGACCTCCTTGCCTGGTCCGTGAGTTTTGGTGGGCGGCCCTCTCTTGGCAGGTTTGTTGTGATGCCATATTCTTTCCATTTTTTAATAATGGATTTAATGGTGCTCCGTGGGATGTTCAAAGTTTCGGATATTTTTTTATAACCCAATCCTGATCTGTACTTCTCCACAACTTTGTCCCTGACCTGTTTGGAGAGCTCCTTGGTCTTTATGGTGCCGCTTGTTTGGTGGTGCCCCTTGCTTAGTGGTGTTGCAGACTCTGGGGCCTTTCAGAACAGGTATATATATACTGAGATCATGTGACAGATCATGTGACACTTAGATTGCACACAGGTGGACTTTATTTAACTAATTATGTGACTTCTGAAGGTAATTGGTTGCACCAGATCTTATTTAGGGGCTTCATAGCAAAGGGGGTGAATACATATGCACGCACCACTTTTCCGTTATTTATTTTGTAGAATTTTTTTAACAAGTTATTTTTTAAATTTCACTTCACCAATTTTGACTATTTTGTGTATGTCCATTACATGAAATCAAATTTTTTTTTTATTACAGGTTGTAATGCAACAAAATAGGAAAAACGCCAAGGGGGATGAATACTTTTGCAAGGCACTGTAGCTGCCAGGACCCCGTAGAAGGATGAGAAGAGGAGGGAAATTAGGAGTGTCTGGAGAGCAGTGTGCATGGAGAGGAGAGGAGGAGAGGAGGGGGGACATTAGGAGTGTCTGGAGAGCAGTGTGCATGGAGAGGAGAGGAGGAGAGGAGGGGGGGACATTAGGAGTGTCTGGAGAGCAGTTGTGCATGGAGAGAGAGGGAGGAGTGGAGGGGACATTAGGAGTGTCCTGGAGAGCAGTGTGCATGGAGAGGAGAGGAGGAGAGAGGGGGGACATTAGGAGTGTCTGGAGAGCAGTGTGCATGGAGAGGAGAGGAGGAGAGGAGGGGACATTAAGGAGTGTCTGGAGAGCAGTGTGCATGGAGAGGAGAGGATGAGAGGAGGGGGGACATTAGGAGTGTCTGGAGAGCAGTGTGCATGGAGAGGAGAGGAGGAGAGGAGGGGGGACATTAGGAGTGTCTGGAGAGCAGTGTGCATGGAGAGGAGAGGAGGAGAGGAGGGGGACATTAGGAGTGTCTGGAGAGCAGTGTGCATGGAGAGGAGAGGAGGAGAGGAGGAGGACATTAGGAGTGTCTGGAGAGCAGTGTGCATGGAGAGGAGAGGAGGAGAGGAGGGGGGACATTAGGAGTGTCTAGAGAGCAGTGTGCATGGAGAGGAGAGGAGGAGAGGAGGGGGACATTAGGAGTGTCTAGAGAGCAGTGTGCATGGTGAGGAGAAGAGGAAAAAGGACAACAGAAGAGAGGAAAGGAGGAGAGTCTGAAATTATTTTTATATATTTACCTCTGGGACAAGCTGGTGACTTGGTGCATGACGTTCTCCTGATCTTGAGGTATGTCTTCAATCATCGGCAATGCCTTTGCGTATGATGTGTCAAGGTCTGAGTCTGCAGCTCTTTTCTCCCTTCTTCTCACACCCCTGCTACTACTGCTGCTGCTCTGTGGGATTGGTGAGGACCAAGCCAGTGGAGTAGGTCTTGGAGGTAAATAGATAGAGCTTTCCAGGTCCTGCATGGAGATTGTTTCTAATTCTGCACTGCAACTCAGTGCGGGAGATGGGCTGGGGGCCGATCACTAGTCAGTACTGGGGGCAGAGGTAGTGCTTGGGGCTGGTGAACAGGCAGTGCTGGGGTGCAGAGAACAAAACCAGGTGCTGTCTCCATTCACTGGTGTTTGTGTCTTGAAAAAAATATATTAGAGGGCTATTTAGTACACATATCCAAAACATTAATGAACATCAAATATCATTAACCAAGACTACAATAGACTATATAATGTTGCAAACGTTTGAGCAGAAGCTTTGACTTTGATGTTACCAATGTGGGAAGCTTATGATTTTCTTTCTATGACAAAATGATGTTGGCTAGCTATTGTTAGCAAAACATGGCTACTCTTTTCGTCGACTACAATAGAAAATAAAACAACATACCCCATCCTTTGGTGAAGACAGCATGTTGCTTTCAGTCTTCCCATGCTTCACGTGCCGAACAAGCCAGCAGCAACATTTCTGGAGTAGCCTTTCCACCGGCATCTCCACTTGTTTCTTTTCTTTGCCTTGACAAACTTGTCGTGAACCCTACCCCACTTTTTCGAAACAAGTGGTTGGGTCGGACCCTGCCGAACTCCAAAACGAACAAGAACGTCACAAAATGTCGTCATAATATATGCACAAACTCTTCCGAACTGTTTCGGCTGGGAAGCATGTGGCCGCCTTAACGCCTTGGGAGGTATAGGAGCAGCGGGCTGTTTGGGTGGTATTTAAATGCTCCACATCATCACCTCTATAGGTCTCTTTGTAGGTGTCAGTGGATGGCTGGCCCTTTTCCTTAATCACCTCCTGAGGTCATGATAACACCTCCCTGAAGGGGTGAGAGGTGCTGAGAGATGGGAACTGGCAGAAGCTACATGCTAATAAAACTGTCAGCCAGGTGGCTGTCTGTCTGTCTCTGGTCTCTGTGACCATCAGGCAATTATAGTGCTGCACTCAACCAGATCTACATGTAACATGAATATATATAATTCATCAGAGCTGGGCTGCTTCAGTATGTGATTGGCATGTGGAATATCACCTGCCTAGCTCAGCAGAGTGTTTGGCATATCAGGGCTATAAGATCACACATCATGGTTGTCACAAACCCTCTATTACTGAGGAGTGATATCATCACACTGTTATAAAGCTCTGTTTCAATGCCCTCACTAATTAGCCACATTGCATCATAGCAGAGAGAGAGAGAGAGAGAGAGAGAGGGAGAGAGAGAGAGAGAGAGAGAGAGAGAGAGAGAGAGAGAGAGAGAGAGAGAGAGAGAGAGGCAGACGGAGACAGAGACAGAGAGACAGAGAGCGAGTGAGCGAGAGAGAGAGAGAGACAGATAGAGAGAGAGAAAGAGAGAGAGAGAGAATGTTCGAGTGATCAAAGGGAAGCACTCTGGATGTGAGAAAAGCAAGGCGTGCTTAAATGAAAGGTTATATTATGGCGCACATTGAAGAGAGCTAAAACATTTATAGGACCATCATCTACAATAATGAATCTGGGGGCTGCTCTCATCCCCTTCAAACTCTGCTCCTTCCCCAGAAAAGCACCAAATGATATCCATTATACCAACGCCTGCCAAAGCTCATATAGAAAATAATAAGAACCAAAAAGGGATTTATTGAGGGACTAATTTGGCA